ACTGCAGGCCGGGACCAGTGAACTGGCGCCAGGCTGTCTTAGCTCTACGGGAATCACCACACTTGCTCTCACGAAGTATTTTACAACTATTGGAGCGCATGCGTGTGACAGTTGCCGACTGCTTAAGAGGGTTGACCTCTGCAACACCAACGTTGAAGAAATTCCGGAATTCACCTTTGTGCACTGCACTAGCCTCAGAGAAGTTCTCCTTCCGCCTACTCTCCATACAATTCGAGTTAAAGCCTTTATGAACTGTGCAGCCCTTGTTGAGCTTGCCATCCCGCCCTCACTAAAATATATTGGAAGTAGGGCTTTCTTGGATTGCACTGCCTTTAAGAGGCCTTCTCAAGATGTTAGGAAGGCACAAATGGCGAGGAGTCTATGCTGAAGAGAATGCTTTTGCCATTTGTCCAGATATGAGGTGGCCACCCTGGCTGCATATGATCCCGGACATGGGATACACCCCTGGTCTTGGATGAAGACATGCCTCTCTGACCACAGCTATCGCGGTCTCACCGTCACCCATCAAGAGTCTGGGCGCGCGCCTTAGCTCGAGTCCAGAGTAGGCCAGAAGTCACATCACAGTACTTTTCACCTTATACAATTTGCTATAGTTGCCTTCCGTGAAACAGGGGGTGATTAAAAATCGTCGCGGTCGAATCGAAACAGGGGAAGTCAAGGCAATCCGGTGCCGCGTGGTAGAAATGACACACGTCCCCCCACAAGCCGTTTCCTTTTGCACAGGGATCCGTCACGCACTCGTGGAGAGCAGTGTCAAGATTGTCGGAGAGGCTGCGTGGATGAGCTGTCGACAGTTGCAAATCGTCCACTTGCCAGACACAGTCGTCAGATTATTGCATGGTGCACTTAGCTGGTGCCAAATTCCACGAGTAGAGTTTGCTTCGGTTGCAAGCATTTCGGCACTAAAGTATCCGAATAGTGTCGCTCCTTGACAAGGGAGGGCACAGCTCAATGCCCTAGCAATCGGCTAGCCCCCCCAAGCCCAGCTGAGGCCGCGAGCTTTCAAGCATGCACAGCTCTGAGTCACATCAATTTAGGTATGCCAGAGCCGGATGCAGCGCACCCAAACCGATGCTTGCCGGACTGCTGCCTTCTGGAGGCGGGCATTGTCGCACTTGCCTTGCCGACAGACTTCAACAGGATAGGCTCCACCGCCTGTGCGAGCCGCCAACAGCTGCAAACTGTTGATCCGTCCCAAACTGAGGATCACGGCATAAGAAGCCTTCCTCAAGTGTACCTCTCTACAGGAGGTTTCCACTCCTGCTTTACATGGCGCGATGCGCTTTTGCAGGTAGCACGCAAGTTCGAGCAATATGCAAACAAAGAAAAAGCAAAACATGGCGAGGGACATATGCCCGACCCAATGCCTTTGACAAATGTGGGTAACTCGACCAGTCCGAATGGCACCGAGTTTTGCCGGCCGATGCCAGTGATCTATGGAGAGAAGACTTTCTAGAACCTGCACCATAGACCAGCAATGCTTTCGCAGCGGGAATGGTGCATAAGCACACCGCCAGGAAGCTACGGCAAGTGAAAAGTGCAAACACTAAGTAGGGTCGCCAACCTCTTTTCGCCATTCGCAATACAGTGAGCCAATAGGAATGAGAGCCTTAGCTCCTCGTTCCCAACAGGCGGGTGGTAGAGAGTGGCAATGGAGGATGCCCAGGGGGAACCTTAGTTCCCTCTGTTGATGTCCGACATTTCCAATTTTGTACAAAGAGGTACAGATACCATGCTAGGATAGGTCCAAAGTCTCACCTGTTTCACACGGGCCTTGCACGCAACAGAACAATTTTTGCAATGACGCAGCATTTCTCGAAGTTAGGGAACACCCCGTTTTGGCACCTTTGTGTGCCGAAGGGTGCCGAGATGACCTCCCTTCGGGGGGGGTGAGACTTTCGCACCCTTACCTGCAGGCTTTCGTCTTTTGCTATGGCCGCCACTGTCTGAACACTACCAACTACTATGCCTCTTGACTTGTATGTGCAACCAGTTGCATGGGTTGTGCTACAAGAAAGGTATTTTCCACGGCATGATCTGCATAGCAACCACTGATCCACTTAGATAAGGATCTAACCTGCGTTAGAGCATACCAATGCCCGGGACTTGCATCGTGACCATGTTTTTGCCACTCTGTGCAGTGGCCGCTGGTCACTGGTAATAGTGATGTGAAGTCCATTTGACGACTTCTTTGAGATTTTGCTAGAGCACAAACCCTCGCTGCCATGCTCTTCTTTCGTGAATTCAGGCCCATAGATAGTCAGCAGTCATCGTCTCACTTGTTTCACCCTAGCACAGAGGAAAGACTACAGGATGGTGGAGACTCGGCCTTTGGGCTGTGGTTGGCTGTTGTTTTTTGTTGGTTGGGTTGTCTTTGTCTTTTTCTCCACCATCTGACTGTATTTCCCTTCCTTCAATGATGACCTGGGCACCATGCCCACACGGCGTCCGTACTCGGGGAAAAAAAACTTGCTAGCTACTCCTGCTGCTGCTTCTGCTCTGCTTGCTGCCGCTGCCGCTGCTGGTTACAGTTGTTGTTGTTGTGGCTGCTGCGGTTGCTGGGGTGGTTGTGTGTTGCCATGTGTTGGCTGTGTTGGGGTCGTATTGGGGGGGGCGCTGTTGGCACTCTCCTTTTCCCTTGGCCATGGCATGTTGCGATTCCCGGCCAGGCTTTTGCTGCCTAAAGAGCCCCAGCGTTGTTTCTTTCCCTAGCTTTCGCCACCCCCCCTCTGGGCCACAAGTAAGAAGAGGCCATCCAGAAATAGATCCAGCGCAAAGGATCTCAAGGAACCCCGTTCCTTAGAGAAAAGAGAAAGCCTGCAGAGATACAGTGGAAACGGAATGGACTATGGTGGCAGAGTGAGCCAGAAAAAGGAATTCGAGCGCTCACGCTATCAAGAAGGAATGTGAATAAGTTTCAATGTAGATCACAGTCTGTGTGCATAGCATCACTTACATCACAGTATGTACCTGCAGCCCTTTTCGATCCAGGAAAAAATGCAAAAAACAGTGTTTTTTTCTTTAATTTGTAAGGCTGTATTGTTTTCAGCGGAGTCCACGGACGCGCTGACCGTATCAAATTGCACTCCTGGCCAGAAACAATTTTTGAACATGTCCTGCCCCCAATCCCACAAAGTGACCTGCCTCCATCTTCAAGACTTGAAAGCCAAAATGGGAGACCCACTGCACAGAACCAAAGCGGCTAATTACAATGGCGGCGCGACATCATGTGTGTTTGTTTCATGTTTTCCTTTTTTGAATTGGCTTTGTTCTTGAAGTTCTTCGTGTTTGATTATTTTTGTTTTGTAAGCCTGGACAAAACCCAAGAAACACCATCAAAAAAAAAACCATCATGCGTTGATCTGTTTTTTCTATTTTTTTCTTTGTTTCATGAATGTGTCATTCTTCGATTCTCGTCGCAAACATTTTCTTGAAACCATGACTTCCAGACCCATGTTAGATAACTTTGCGAACAAATGTTTCATCACTGCTCAGATTACAGACTTACCTTTGGTGTGTGAACATGTTTTTGAATGACCAAATTTAAGGTAAAATTATATATATAGTGCATTTGGTGGGCGGGCACAAACGGTGTTTGGTTGCATGTAAAAGACAAATCGAACCAACACCACAAACAAAATCGGCTCACGACAGGCCACGGAACAAACAACTTGCCACGTGTTTGGCGGTGACAACAAAAGGTTTCACCTATTTTGTTGAATTTGTTGTGAACGGGTGCAAAATAGATTCTGCAAACACCTAGAGCACCAGCGCCAAAGTTTCTTGGTTCATTCACAACATGTTTGCACATATTTGCATTTTTCATTTGTGAGTCACACGTGCACTGAGGTTGAATGTGCAAAAAACATGATATTTTTTGGGGATGAAAGGGGCAGCCATCCACCCATTGACCCCTTGATGCGTGCGCATTTGGGCGTCAAGTTCTAGATTCAGCGTGCGCCGGCTCGCTGTCAGGCCCCATTGTGGTGAAAACCATTCGGGGAAGCATGTTTAACCTGGTTTGAGAACATGTGTTCCTTGGTCGGCTTTTGCCATGACAGTTCGCAAAAGAGTAAGAACATTCATTCAACCCGCAGCAAGTGCTTGCCCTCATGCATGCTGGTGGCAAGCAAGGTCTTCATTTGACGAATCTGTGAATGTGAACTTTTGACAAATTCAATAAGGTTCTTTTTTGCAAACAACATGTTGATGACACTTGAGTTGTGCTTAACACTTTGCCCCAGCTTGGCCGACATTCTTTCACGATGAGTATGTACCATGCAGCTTTGAGTCAGGATCCTTTCCAGCTTGCTGGTTTCATGGACATTTGGAAGCTACAAACTGAGCGGGCTGCGTGACACTTGCCAAGCTTCGATGCCAATGATTGTCAAGACACCTCAAGTTTGGGACACCACAGTGGCAATGGTTTGCCGTGTTTTTTCAGTTTTAATTGTACACGTCATGCGTTTTTGGTAGGTTCTATTTTCGTAGTAGGCCACACCATTTTCAGACAACGTTCCGTGTGACCAAAACTTCCTGAGGTTTCTATGCTTCATCACCATCGGCACAGCTGATGCATTTTCAATGCATCTTGGAAACATGGCATGTGTCAAGTTGACAGTCTACATAATGGTGTTGTCCACTTTTTAAGAAACCCACCCAGGAAAACCCATCAAGGTCAAAAGGAAAGTCGACGTTCCAACCCATTGGGCCAGGGGGTCTCCGCCCATGTTCGTTGGTCTTTGGCTTTTCAAGGTTCTCACCGGGTCGCGAATCAGGTCTGTGGATTCGAGCGGTCTCCCGACCCTGATGCGATCGGAGAAGGCCGTAGTAGAAGCCCGCAAGACGTTGGACACTTTGTGAGCAACCTTTCAATATACAGAGAGTTCTTGTTTTTCCATTTGCTTGATGTATAGAATAGATGCTGTGCTTGACACAACCGGATCAGAAAGGCTTTGAATTTCCTCTTGTGCCATGAAATGAAGGCCGCTGTGAAAGAGGACCTCTGTGAAAGTCAGGGTGGTGAAAGGCGCGGCTGCCGCGTGGGTGGGGGGACATGTCGGATTTGTGTTTGGCTTTTGGGTGCAATTCTTAGTAGCATTCAGGGCTGAAGGGTCTTGGAAAAACCGGTCTCGAAATTCTTACTCCAATGGATTAGCCAACAAAACTCTCCAGCTGAAGTCGGGACGCCACCAGTTGGGGAGATATCGTTGAAAGTTGACAGAATTCACTGGGTACATAGGTCACCTCGAGGCCGTTTGCCGCCACCTGTATGGAATTTTTGCTGTCAGATGCCCAGGTGTGTTGAGAGCAGATGCTCAGATCAGATCTTCAGCACCGCCGCTTGGAGTCATATAAGAGCTGGAGGACTTATTTTGTGACCGACCTGCAGTTCAGTGACTCTGCAAGAAGCAAGTTGGACAGCACTTGGGGCGCGGAAAGAAGGAAGAAACGAGAAGAAGGGCGAAGGAAAGAAGGAAAGAAGGAAGAAGAAGAGTATTCAACTGCTCTTTCAACTGCTTTTCAACTGCTTTTCAAGAGTATTGGTCACGGCTTTTCAACTGCTCCCAGCCCCGCCGTCGCCGACTGTCCACCCAGGCGGACTGTGCCGCGACGGCGGAGGGCATCAGCGCTTGCCCCGGAACACAGGCGGATCGGGTGGGTCGGGGGGGGAGGTCCGGGAGGTCCGGGCCGGACCGATAGATGGGACAAGAAGCTGTTTGTGAATATCACTGGAAGTGTTTACAAAACTGGTTCGTATGAATTGGTGCTTGCCTTTTCAATGCCATGACGAAGGGCGTTGAGTGAGTGAGTATGGAAGTGTTCCACGAAGGTTGGAACAATAGACAGGGTATGAAAGTGTGAACTGGAACGATATTTCTTTCCGACCGTATTTTTTTGAGGTGTTTGCAGTAGCTTCAGCTGCTTTTGATCTGAGATCTCGTGCCCAGTGTGAACATGTTTTTCGATGGATTTGCGCTTCAGGTTTGCCAGAACAAGTCCACCACAGGCACAACACTTCAGCTGCCTTGCCGACACGGGTTGGAGAGTTGCAGCGGGAATTGTCTTCTCTTGGTTCGTTTCTTTCGGATGTGGTGTTCTTTCCTCCATTGTGCGATGCACGCTATTGGAAATCTTGGCCATGGGTTCCAACATGTCAAAGGGGTCAGTCTTTTTTGCGCAAAACCGATGGAGTTGCAGCTGGTTGAATTCCATTACTTTCATCACGCTTCCTTCCGGCTTTGCCTGCAGGAACGGCGCAGTATCGCTGCTGTTGTCCTCCCTGTGCTTGATGCGTTCGCAAGATTGCACAGAGGATGAGGATGTGGAAAAGGTGCTGTTTCTCTCAGTGGCACAGCAGTTACCTTTTCAAGGCTTGGGGTTGGTCCTTTGGTTTGGATCGAGACCAACATGAGTAGCATCAGCTTGCCGCAAAAAACCACCCGTGGCTTCTCCCGCTTCGCATCCGCATGGAGGGACCACGTCCCAGAGGTGCCATCCTGGAATGCCATCGCTGGCTTACAGTCGTTCAGTTTCACCCCTGAGTGTCCATTGAGGTAAGAATATGTCCGAGTCATAGTATTTGGACTTGGTCACTTTTCCAAATTAATCGTCACAATGTCTTGAGCAAGAGTGATGATGCTCTATCCTCATGCTCACTGCAACACAAGTGACACCAACCAGCACAAGAAAAGCCTCCTCTCTTTGCCCTTTCCAGATGAGAGCCATTCAGATCCTCTGCCTGGCGCTTGTGCAGAGCTCCTATGCTGGCCCATTGGATTGCGCGGATGAGTCGGATCCTCTGGTCAAGACCTGCTGTAGTGCGCAGAGTGCGTGGTCTTCCATGGAAGCGGCCGGTGGATGTGGCGGTTCGGGCGCCACGGCCGAGCAGTGCTCCCAGGCCGCCGAGCTCTGCGAGCGCTGCCGCACCGCGGTGGAAGGCCACCGGGACGCGCCCGCGGATGGCGTCAGCTTGGAGCAGAAGCTCGGGTCCACGGGGGTGGAGGCGGAGGCAGATGGGACGGATGCGGATGGAACCAGCGAATTCTTGGTTGGTCAATCCCTGCAGAGAGGATTCATTCCACAGGTGGACACGGGGGGCAGGCGCTTACAGGAAATCGGCAATCCTCAGACTTTTTGAAGGGTCCACATGCGGGTTTCATTTGTTTTCAGAGAGGAAGGAAGATGTTTTTCAGACCTTTGTGTTTCCAACAATGCTCTTCTTCGTGGTCCTTGGCTAAGCTTTTCAAAGTCAGCTCTCCGCACCGCCCCAGCAACCTTTTCATGGAACAGAAACATCTACTTTGGCATGCACTCTCTAAACCAAGACCATAAAACTGCTCAATGTATGGTTCTTCACGTGCTTACGCACCGTGCCGCTTGCCTGTCGCCGCACCGCCTGCGGCGAGCACCGGACGCACGGTGTTTTTAACGCGTCGCTTGACGCGTCTCAGGAAGTTTTCCACCCTGGACATTAGCTTATTGGAGATGACCTGCCTCTTGCCCGAGGCACACCCACCGACTGTGACAGTCGGGTACCGATGTCCAAAGTTCTTGAGAGTCATTCGCCAAGAAGGCACCTGATGAGGGGCTTTGCTTCTACATTCTACTGTCGCAGAATTCTTCCATGAAGGCAACTGGTAACTATGAAGACCTTTTTGAAAGGTCGCGTAAGACTTTTTCAATGGGCTGGTGGTCAGAGTGAGCAACTCTTGCACTCTTGCACCCTTTGTTGGGCTTGGGGTGGAGGTAGTGGCCTGTGGTGCGGTGACCGGCCTTGGCTTCCTGGCCTTGTCGGGTGCCGGGCTTCTGCTGCTGCTGCTGGCGGCCGGAGGCCTAGCGCTGCTGGACCAGCGGACGGTGGCACCGGCAGCCCTCGCAAAGGCGCCGAACGGGACGCCGGCCACGCATTTGGGGCAGCTGGAAGCTCAGGATGGGGAGAGGCGGGAAGCTGAGGTGCCAGGTTAGGTCCCAGGCGAGGCACTCATGTTAACAGGGCTTGGTGGGGGTGTCATCACCGGGTATTTTCAGGAGGGTCTTTCCACTGAGGCCTCACTTGGTTCCAGCTGCAGGCGGGCGGCTGAGTCCTGTGACCAAAGAGTTCCGTCCTGTGTCAAGGGGAGACACCAGGCGTAGGCAGCCTCCAACAACAAAGACATAGACGGTCTGTATTGCACCCTGACGTCTCCAAACTCTTTCTTGCAAGATGGATCTCAAACCAGGTCAACGCCACGCAAATCTCGGAGTCTGCATTCGGTGCGTGCTCTTTTTCCTTGGTCAGGGGAAGAAGGGTGGGATGATGTTGGATGTGCTGATCAGTACCTCGAAAAATGCATGAACAGCGATGGTACTGGTACTCCACCACCGATCCTTTAAGCCCCGCCTTCGCTGCAGATGCTCTGCGGCTGGCCGCTGCGATGCCCAGTTCTGTAGCGGCCCCCAGCGTAGGACGGTGAGCCTTGGAAGGGGGGTTTCTGAGGATTTAGAGGTAGCCATGCTTTCAATCGCAAACATGATGTTTTGTTGAGTCGTTCAGTGGGAACTTGTTGCGTTTTTCAGATCAGCTTTGCAGGTGAACTTTCTTCAGTCAGGGTGTCTTTTCTTTCATCATCTCATCCTGCAGCCTAAACCTTCCACCCTACACCGCCGAAAACGCTCCAACCGTCTCTCCAGTCGTCAACGCTCTACGTCCTGCCACGGCGACGGCACCAGCCCCGAGGAGCTGTGGTGGCCGCCCTGGGACGCGTCTTCCTCCTGATCTCCACGCTCGCGCTCTTCGCTCGAGTGGACTGGACCCCCAGCGACCGAGAGAGAGAGAGAGGCTGGAGGTCGAGGTCGGATGGTGGAGGGTGGCTGCAGGGCCAGAGCTCAGAGGTTGTATTTTCAGATTTTGTTAGTTGGGGTGAGGGGGTGAGAGGGGAGAGGACAGAGTGCTCGTGGTCTTCAGGTCTTCAGGGTGTTCGTTTTCTGGGTCTTGGATTGAGAGGATTGCGTGGAGCCATAGGTCAGGCCTAAGCCTGTCCAGCCACATTCGCCCTCTCATCCATGTCCAGCGCCGTTTCTGCCTCACAGGCACTGATTGTGTGCTATTTGCTGCTTTTGCCCAGGTGACGCTCTCAGCCATTTGCGAACCGGAACGAAAGAGAACCGGAACGACCCATGGGTTTCAGTCTATGAAGCACGGAGTGTTTGGAGCGTTCCCACACTTGAATTCCGAGACATATGGGAACCAAACCACCGGGTGATCCGTCGTCCATGTGCGACCTCCCCAGTACGGTTGGGCGCCGCGACACCGAAGGAAAGCAGGTTGCCGGCATTGTTTTTCATGCCTTTGGTTGGTTGGCAACTGGTTTGGTTCCATTTTTTCCCCTTCTGATTTTCCTCTCCAATCTCCCTATCTCTCTCTCTCTCTCCTCCTTTTCATGCGTAGCCTGGTGGCCTAGCGACGGAGCCAAGGCAACATGACCTGCTTCACGCCATGCCAGAGCTACCTTTGGCGGTGTTGCCTTGGCTGTGGTGTGCTGGGGCCTAATTTTGTTGATGGTCCCTTTGCTTGACCAGCATAGAACCTAACAAACCAACAGGATCTAGATCCGGCTGAAGTATCGACATTAAGCCTGAACTTACATAGACCTCCAAGAGGGTGTCATTGGTAGTGCTCCGAACTTTTCAAGTGCGGTAGCAAAGCATTCATCGCCAACCTGAAAGACTCAATCCTTGGTTGTCTGGTGCTGATTCTCAACTTGATCGAGGTCAATGGTCCATGGTTGGTTTTCAGAGGTTTTGTGAGTGGGATTTGATCCTGTTGGTGCCATGATGAAAAGTTGTTCTTATGTTGATTTCCAACAAAATTGTGCATTCCTTCGGAGCTGTTGTCACAAGCCAAGGATTTGTTGGTGAATCATCGTGAGGACTCTATATGTCGCATCCGGATGCTAACACAGGAAGATCCTTTCCAATTCTTCAGCAATCATTGAAAGGCCGCTTCAGGTACTGTGGGAAATTCTCTCTCTCTCTCTCTCTGCCTTCAATCATGTTCAAGTACAGTGGGTTTCTAGAGTGACAAGGAGCTCTTTTTCAATCGACCATGTCGTGGCAGTCTGGTTGATCCGAGGTACGTTTCGTATTTGACACAACTCTGAAGAGTAGGGGCTGTAGAGCAGTCGCCAAACACTTTGCCAGAAACACACGGACGCATCAGTCGGGGCGCAGAAAAGCCATGACCGCATCTATGACTTATCAGAATATTTGTGAAGAAGGAGACTCCCCTCTCTTCAGACCCGCCGCCTGCACACCCAGCACCATGCCGGAACTGCTTGAGGTCTGTGGGCTTCGCTCGAGCCCATCGCGGATGGCCTTCTGTGGGCCCAGGCGAAGCCATGGGTCCTTTTGCAGTGAGGTGGTTGGCCACGGATCAAGACATTTGGTTGCCAAAAGGGTAGACCTCAGGTGAAAACACTTGACTTCGGCATGACTGTTGAAGAAGTCGAAGATGTACTTTGTCTAAAGTCTGGTGGATTCCAGGATTCGTACAGACTGAGCTGCGATGAGCATTCTATTTGCCACAGACAGTTGCTCTTCAGCCACCCCTCCAGACTTGACCAAGAACAGACCTCGGACGCTCTCAAGCCATGCTAGCCCAAGGGGTTCCTTCCCGTCCATTTGGCAAGGAAAAAACACACGGAGCGCCACCGAACCGTGCTCGGTGGACCTGCTCCGTTCGTCCAAACGGGTGCTCCGTTTCTTCGTGGTCACTGAGTCACCGTGGATCCCACCGTGGGTCGCTTGCCTCCGTCTTCCAGGGGAGATCCTTGAAGGGTCGGAATGGTGGGAATCGACCTCTTGTTCGTTCATCGACCTCTTGTTCAGCAGAAAGGGAGCGTCCCTGGAAAAAAAAGGTGGCTACATCGACCACTGGCTTAGCTCTTGCCAGGTGTCCGCGCTTCATGACTTATGCTCTTGTGACGGTGATGGCTGAGCTGCACCTTGTTTCGAAAACAGGTGATGGTGTGGCTTTTTTCGTCATGGCACCTTTCCCTTCCAAATCATGGTAGGTTGAAATCTCGAACATAGAGGAATCTGATGGAATCTGTTCATTGTCGTTGGTCAACCAGGGTGCACGGGTTGTGACCCACAGCCAAATGACCATGCACAACTTGCTCGTCTCTTTACAACCTCCTGTGCCCTTGGTGCATTCTGGTATAAGCCAACCCCCTGGACATGGCCTCAGTCGAACTCTAGCTTGGTTGAGTCTGGCCACTCCAGCTCAACCAAACCCTCAGAACTTTCTTGCGTTTTTGGTGAAGGCTGCGATGATAAAATGGATGCGATGATATATTAACGAGGTCTTACGCAGGTGGACCGGGGTTTCTGGGGAGATGCGCCAAATCGCGACCACTCAGTGAGGCCTCACGTTTTTTCTGGTTTTCCTTCAATGTCTAAGAGTTCGACTGTGGAGTGTGCGTCAATGGCTTGGAGGGCTTAAAAAGCTGCGAACAAGTGCCTCAGGTACAGTACCATCGTGCTGGGCTCAGGTGAATGGGGGGGTGAACGCGACACTTGTGGTCAGGATGAGGCTTCAGCTTTCAAGGATCTCAGCTAGCACTGGTCTGAGAGTCTCGATCGCTCAGGGGGTCATGAAAGCTCCCACGAAAGGGCCAAAGGCAGCATTGGGCACCAAAGGGGGACCGAAGTGCAAAGTTGAAGCAGGCCAACTGCACGTAGGAGTGGCAGGAGTCTTCCCAGGGCTACACTCCGAGGAAGAACAACGAAAGAAAAGTGGTCTCTGAGTTCACCACCTGTTTGGTCTTCAGAAAAAGGCTCCTCCATCTGGAGGCCATGCCATTCATGTTGGCCGATGATTTCAGGGCTGCCGTACCATCTGCCACCAAACCTCCTGAAGTCGAGCGCCGCTGTCGCGACCCAGGTGGCTGCCATGTCCGTGGCCACGGCGCCGTGCGGCGCATCACCCTGGCGGGCCGTATTGGCCCGGCGGCCCTGGTGGGCGGTGGCTCTTGGCTTCTGGGGAGTTTCATGGATAGAGGCGGACTCTGGGAGTTTTGGATCTACACATCCAGAGCCAGACTCTTGGCTCAGTCTCTTAGCTCAGTGGGGCTTAGCCGAGGATGGTCTTTGCGCTTAGGAGTTCTGAGGAGTGTAGCTTCATTTACTCATCCTTCTGGGTCACCACTTTCCGATGAAGCAATCAGGTCAGGTCTAAAGCGCTCTGCCCTCGTCACATGCATGGAATCCGTGAAACTGACTGGTGCAGGATGGTCGCCTCCCCAATGTCACCATAAAAGACGCACATTCGTTCAACTCACTTTGGATGCTTTGTTTCCACCTTCCAAGTTTCAATGACATCACCTAGCCGCCCTAGCCTTGTTTCACTGCAGTTTTTTCAAGCTCTTTGATTCCACTTCAGAGTTCTGCAGCTTTTTCAAGCGTTCCGTGCTGAGCTCTACTGCCTGGGTGTGGTGGTCACGGTGCTCCGCTGCTACTCAGCCCTTTTGGCCGGGATTCTCGGTGACAATGACGAGAGCCGTTGATGTTACATCATCTCTCATGCGGAATATTAAAGTGGGTCTGACTCGCTCACTTGTTCTCTAAAAAGTCCTTACCTTTTTCTCCTAGAGATAAGGTGTCGCAAGAGGTGAGGAACCAATTGCTTGTGCATATCACCTTGAAAACTCCATCCTCTTTGGATCAGGGGGGCGTGTCGATCATCTCACTGGGCTGTGGTTTCAGAGTAGAAAACACATGGGAACCAAAGATGATTCTTTTAACTATAGGGGTCCATATAAGCTTGGGGATCACTCTGAAACCACTGCAACTGGGGTTCTTCTGGGGTCTTTCGACAGCACAGCTGGTCTTGCTTGGACAGCGTCGACCGCCCGGTTACCGGGCCCAAGGCCATGCGCTTCCAGGACGTGGCGGCTGGCGCGCACCGCCGAGTGGTGCCGCAGGACCTCGCCCGGGCTGCGATTTCGGGCTTCGGCGGTCGTGGAGCTCGGGTTGCTGAGGTTCGATCTGCCCAAAAGAGAACTGGACAGGCTCCTTTTGGGAGGAGTTGGTGGATAGGACATGTGGCTTTTCTACATCTTCCCCACCAAGGAAAAGAGAGAGAGAGAGAGAGAGCTTCGTGCCAGACGACTGTTGCCTTGTTGCCAGACGACTGTTGCCTGACCTGGCCTCTTTCGAACCTCTGATGTTTTCCATCTTTTCCATTCACTCCAGTGACCAAGTCACCCCTCACACCGAGCCGCTTCGCCGCTTCCAGCGCCCAGGAGACCGAGCCGGAGCCGGTGGCTACCGGTCCGGGCACCGATCCGCCCACCTGTGCACCGGGTCAGCGCGCGCGGCACGTGGTGCCCCGGCCCCGGGCTGAGGCGATATCCACTGCTGTGTGGAGGACTGGGATGGGATGGGGTGCCATGAATGGATATGAATGGTGAGGGATGGTGTTATTCTTTCTTGTTTGTTTATATTGTTCTTTTTTCAGATGTGTGTTGATGTGATTTGCTGGATTGCCACTCAGATAGCATTTGTGATAAGAGGGGCTCTTCATGCAAGCATGGTCAGCTGCTGTGTTGTCCGAAGCTATTTGCTCAAGGCCCTTTTGGGCCTGTCGGTTGCGTCAAGCAATGGAAGGGGTCATTCATACTCGATGCCCTTTCTGCAGGGGTTCATTTGCCTCCGCAGTCTTTGGATTGTGCACTCGAATCGTTCAATATCTGCATGGAGTTGTCAAGGAGGGCAGTACCCACCTTGCAACATCTTCCGAACAGCACGTTTCCCTCAAGACATTCATGTCCAGGGCTTGAGTTTTGGATCTTTCATTGAAGGTTTGGTTTGGAACCGGAAGGCAAGACAAAACCTGCTGTCGGTTCACTTTCCATGACTCCACTCCACTGCCGACATGCGGCACCCCCCGGGGCAGCACCGGAGCAGCGTGCCCGACCATGGCCGACGCTTCCGACTGTGGCGGCGGCTCGCCGCCGGTGCCGGATCTGCGGGGTGCGTTGCCGGTGCCCGGGCAGCAGCAGCGGCTGCTGGCGATGATGCAGTGGGTGGACGAGCGGCTGACAGCGGCCGATGTGAGGCGAGTTGGGGCACGCGGTGGGGCACGCGGTTGGGCGGCGTGCCCTGTGGAGTAAAAGTTGGGTGCTTCTTTTTGTTTGCAGGAGGTTCGATTCCGCTTATTCCGCATGGTGGTATAGGGTTTCTTAGCTAGTGCAGGATCCGTCCCGTTGAGAGCACCTTGCTTTTGTCCGGGCCCTTTTTGCCTTGCTTTTTCATTGTTTTGCGCGATGGACCTCCCATCTTCCCTCGGTTTTCCCTCGGTGTCACTGACGATCACGCCGTCACTGGTCAGGTATTGGATCACCGGTGGCACGCTGCTGGGGGCCATGCGACACGGCGGGTTCATCCCGCACGACGATGACATCGACTTGGAGATCTTGGAGGAGGATTTCCCCAAAGCGCAGGAGGCCCTCGCGCAGGCTGCTGCTGACATGCGCGTTTCGTGCCACGCATGTGAGCATGTGGCGGGAGGGAGCTTCAGCGTTTCAGCGCTGAATCTGAACATGCCATGGTCCTCTCAATAACCCTTGATCCTTGATATCAATAGATCGGGTCAATCACTCCCAGCATGCTCCACGGATGGAAAACCCCAGCCTGTCATCGGGTCCCCTGCTTCACGCTCTGATCTTTTTTCGCCTCACAGTGCGGGTACGCGCGCGTGGTGCGAAGAACATGGCCAGCTCGACTGCTCTGCAGGTGGGGCGTAGCTTCCGTCCCCTGGGCTGCTGGACGGGAAGCTCGGTGCGCATGGGCCGCCTCTTCTGCTGGGGTGGAGGAGGTGCCGACACCGAGTCGTTGGATGTGTTCCTGCGGGAGCCGAGACCCTTGGGTGCGCTGGCGGAGTTTCCAGGCGAGGAGGACCAGTCTGGAGGGGAGGGAGCGGAGAGGGAGTAATAAAAAAGGGGGGTGGGTGGTAGGGTGGGTGGGTGGGTGGGGTGGGTTAGAGACGCCACGCTGACTCTGCTGGACATGAGGTCCTCGTTGGTGTTCTGGAATGACTGGTTTCCTTGCCCTATGAAGTCATTCTTCATCGCCTCGAAACGAGCTGGGTCTCATGATGACCGGGTGAGTCCTAGCCGCCCATGCTGCAGGAGGTCTTCCCCTTGTGTCGAAGGTCCTTCCATGAGCTCCATCTCTGGACGCCCCACCAACCAGAGCCCTTCCTCGCGCGCTGCTACGGTGCCCGCTGGGCGGACGAGGTCGTGGTCTGGAGCCACGCGTCCCGCGCGCGGAAGATGCACTGCTTGAGCTTGGAGAGGTACTTGAGGGCCATTGAGGCGGCAGGCTACGAGGTGGGGTGAAATGGAAGTTTTGTTGGGACACGTGTGGAGTGTGGAGAAATGTTTTTTTTTGTTTGCTGTGAAAATGGTGGCACATATGCAACCAAAATGAGAGACGGCACGAATCAATCACACACAGCATTGCACCGCCCGTCTCAGCAGTAAGTTCGATCCTGATGGTGATGTAGTCAGATGTGAACCCAGCCTCTCCACCTAAGTCCATCTACCCGGATCTCCAGTCAGCCACTGGATCTCCCCCCTTCCCAACAGAGGTTAAGTGACCTTATAGGATCCTACAGGGGTACCTCTAGGATAGTCTATAGGGTTCTTCAACCTCTGCTGGTCTGCCTACACTGGCTCCTTCCACCGGGTCTCCACCGAGGCGCCAACGGTCAGCTCGTCTTCGTCGGCCGAGAGTCTGGCTGCCGTGAGCTTGGAGTCTGGAGGCGAATTGAAAGACCACTTGTGGAGCTCCATGGGCTGGGCCTCGCCCTACGCCCTGGAGGAGGAGAGAGGGCCATCAAGAACCTGGGGTGTGGAAGGGAATTGCAGGTGAGAACTGAAAGGGAATTGGAGGTGCTGAATGTCAAGGGCGGGATGTCAACTTCAGCTGAAGGATGTCAACTTCATCTCCTGTTGTCTCTGCAGTCGGTCTTCAACAAAGCCTGGTGCGTCCTCGACTGAAGAGTCCCATCCTCGACTGCTGCAGGAGTCTCAGGGCCTGGAAGTGCTTGGACTTGAAGAACAGCTGTGGCCCATCGATGGGGCCGCGCACTGGTGTCGTCGCTTGAGGGAGCTGCGTGAGGCGTCTCCCGCGGATGAGGCACTGCGGGTGCTGGAGGAGGTGGCCGGGCCGCGGTTTCGGAGTGTTTGGAGTTGGTGTGTCTTTCTCATTGGTGTAGGGCTAGGGCTCCTGTCCCATATCCTCAGGTTCGGTGGTTAGACCTGCCTATTACCCACCCCAACCACCGAACCTCAGGAGGTGGGCCAGGAGCCCTAGGGATTGTAGGCCTTGGAATGGGAAGGGGAGTCCTTTTGGCCGCATCGTGACGACTGGGAAGAGTTGTGGTGCTCGGCCGTTGGAGCCCGATGTCTCCTTGACTCCTCTTCCGCAGAGTGGGTCGCATGCGACTGTGGGTGGAAGCGACAGTCAACTGACAAGTGGAAGGCTCCAAACAATCCCATCCGCCGACATCCGAACCATGTCCGATTTCAACATGCTGGACAGACAGCTTTTCGAAACCCAGAAAAGACCACACCCATCACCCCAAAACCGTGACTCAGGTGAAGGCTTCCACAGGCTGTTTTCTGGAGTTCATTGGTTCCGGCTCGACCTTGCGCGCGGTGGGCACGCCCGAAGAGCTCGCGAAGGTGGAGCCGATCTTGGAGAAGTGGCTGCGATGAGGATGGTATGCTCGCGCCCAACAAGGCCTGGCTTTTGGACTCTGGATTTCAGGGGAACAGAACACGCCGCCATTGGATGTGTCGAAAGGCCAAAGGTGCCTGATGCTCTGGGTATCCGGCTGTCACAGTTGGAGAAAAAAGTTGAGCCCAATGCAACGAATGGCATGGCTGCAAGTTGCAGACTGGCAGAAATGCACCTCTGTGATATGTACTGTATGTAGATTGCTGTCAGGAGACGCAGGCGCAGCCGGCGCAGCGCGTGCCAAGGGTTTGGTGGGCGACTCTGAGTCGCGGATGCGCATAGAACATAAGCCTACAAGTGGTATCAAATTGGATTGGGAAGACTTCTTGCAACTATGTGTGCTTGGGAACATACGAACGGAGCAGATTTGCGAACGGAAGCAACAACTCTCCAATGGTCGGGACGACAGCCAGCTGAACCAGCTTCTTGATGCCTCGGGCCCCCCAGACGTTTGCTGGGGTGGCGTCTACCTGCTCCATGAGCAAGCCCTCTTGCTTCCCATTTCTTGGGCCCATGCCTCCACATCTCCGATGGTTCCTTCACCCACAAAGCTTTTGGTTGTGACCCGGCACCCGGCGGAGCCACAGCCAAGACTGTGGTCTCGACCTTTGTCGCTGGGTTGACGTCCTTCGTCGTCTCCGCTGGCTGTTTGGCAGCTCGAAGCTGGGTGCCGAGACCCGAAACCATGGGCAGACCTTAGCTCGTAGACTCGTAGGACTCGCTGTTCGCTCGCTGGAAGAAGGACTGAGAATGGGTCGTTGGTTGAGCAGTTCTCAAGACACGAAAGTTCTTTGGGTTGTATTTGTTCGGGGGTTCCGAGACAGCGCTATGGACCCTTGGCCGCGCCGCTGACGTTCTCATGGCAAGGTGGGGTGTGGGGTTCCACCGGTGACCGATGGACACCGGTGACGTTCTCATCCACATGGAGGCAAGATCTACTGAGATTCTACAAGATGAGACAAAGCAGAGTCTTTGTGAAAAGTAAACACAACGAGAAAACATCAATGGAAAGAATCGGCATCTAAAAAGCGGTCGAGATGTGTGAGGGTGAGTTTGGGTGGAGCCAGTTTTCGACCCATATGACAGAAGTACTATCTGCGGAGTGCGAAGTAAAAGCAAAGCTACCAAAGCTAACGGGGCGCGGCCGAAGCAACTATTTCAAACAGGCGAGCCAGCGCTGACTGCGGATGCGTCAGCGGTCTCAAGTCAAAGCCACCACATGGCAAAAACGTGCACCGACCACCATTTCTCACGTGGTCGAATTAACGGCCGGCGCTGCCAGCTTTGGCTCGGCCAAACTTGACCTTCCGGCGCTGCCGTTGGTCTTTGCGAAGGCGCTGCCTATGCTCCTCCAATCGCCTTTCTGCGTCAGTCTGCTTTAGTGACAGGCGATGGTTCTGGCAGAAGCTCTCCCAAAGCGTCCCTTTCATGCGCTTCGTGAGCACATCTGCCTGCTGCTGATGGGTCGGAACCCAGAACAGTTGGTATGCCTTCTGTTCCAACATGTCCTTGGCCACGAGGAGGTCAAGCATAGTCTGCCTCTCACTTGGTACGTGGCCTGTCGTGTGGACATGGTCGTAAAGACTCTTGGCGTCTGTGACCAGGCCGCCTTCATGGCGAAGCTTGGACCTCCAGTCCGCTGAGGGTGAGGTGGTATCACCGAACCACAACATGTCCAGTAGCGCCCTCAAATAGAGGTGCTTGTCCACTGCCAGGGACATGCTGTTGCTCTCTGCCGCCATTGAGCTTCTCACCACCCTGGTGCTTCGGGAGGTGTGGAATTCCAGCGGGGCTGCCAGCTGTGGCCCTTCCTTCACTCCATCAGTCGTGAGGAAGTGTATCGATCCCAGCTGGGACCGACCATCGGTCTCCTTCCCCAAGGAGGCGTCGAAGAAGCTCAAAACATACGGCCTCCCACGATTAGTGGGATAGCGCAGCTTGGCTCTGCCAGCTTTCTCTTCTTCCAGGAAGTTCTGGTGTAGCTTCACAGCTTCCTGAAAGTCCTTGTAGGTGGCCTGGTTGACTCTCTGAGCCAAGGAGCTGATCTCATACAGCTTGTGAGGCATTGCCAACTGAGCCGGCCATCGAAGTCGCATAGTCAATTGGCGGTATTGTGTCACGCCCTGCGTGTCCAAAGGTTCATCCGGCTTCTTCTTCTGCATCTCAGGGACCTTGATGTTCCGAATGTAGGCTCCCATGTTGTCGCAGAGGCCCCCTTTCTCAGCCTTCTCCAGATCTACTCCCAAAAAGGTCAAGGGAGTCTCCTTCCACTCCTTGATCTTGAAGAGCTTGTTTAGTTGTGCCTTCAACTTGACAAATCGACTGTCATTTGGATCTCCCAAAAGGAGTCCATCGTCGACGTGGAGGCACAGGATCGCCCAGCTGATGCCGCCTTCACTGGCCGCAAATGTGGCCTTGGCAATCGGGAGCTCTTTCAGCGGCGTCTGGCTGATCAATTGCACCGCCCGAAGGTACCAAAGCCTCGGAGCTTCCGTTAGGCCATATGCGCTCTTGAGGATGCGCAGAAGTTCAAAGGGCAATATGGCACTCCAGCCCTCCGCGGCTGGCAAGCCCTCAGCTGGAGCCTTCACGTAGATCTGACGATCTGTCTCCAGGCCCGACAAAAATGCCGTCGTGACATCAAAGCTCCAGCAGATCCATGATCTGAATTGGCTGATGGCCTTCGCCATCCTCACAGAGACCAGGCTGGTCGTGGGCGCGTCCGTCCGGAAAAGGCCCAGATGCGGGTCCCGATGACCCGGGATCACCAGCCTGCTTTTGGCCAGAAGAGGAAGCAACATCTTCTGCTGCTTGTTCACCCGCACCATCCGCATGGGGCTTTTGAACACCGCCTCTCGAGGCACTTTTCTCTGTTCGTCGGGGCTCAGCCTTTTGATCACTCCATTCTGTATCCACTGAGCCCACTCTTTCTTGTCCGCCTCTGCGAACTTGGACCGTTCCTCCTCGCTGAAGAATCTCGGGTCCAGCTCTTTTCCACTGGCCTTCATGCGAAGCAACATCACTTCGCTCATCAACACATCCTTCATCTCGGCCAGCCATTCTCGTTCAAAAAGCTTCCGTTGGCGTGAACTCCAGCACACCTCATAGATCTCCCCATCTTTCTCAACATAGCTTCGGACTTTCTCTCCTTTCTTCTTTGGAGCTTCCTTGTAGTACATTGTGATCCCCTTCCAGGGGAACCCCGCTTTGCGACGCGGGTGTTGTCGCACCTCCTCGGTGTTTTCTTCAACCACAAAGGCATTTCGCGGATCCTTCCCCAGCAAAATGCTGAGCCGCGCTCTGCTGGCCATCTTAGGCGGCCGCGCTAGCCGCTTGCGGGGCTGCCGGTGCAACCGGGCTGCCGTGATGGGGAGCCCCGTGAGTTCCCGTAACAGCGAGAGCTCATAGCGGGAAACCCACTCATTTGCCTTCTCTTCTTCTTCGGTGACCAGCGTGCTCAGCATCACCTGAGTCACCAGGTCTTGAGACACTCTGGCTCTCTTGTTCGGTGGTGCAACCCCCGTATCATCATCATCTTCATGCAGCCGCTTCCGAATGGAAATTGGTAGATCATCCAGGAGATGGCGCTGCCTCTCCTCCGTGGTTTGCCGTCTTAGCAGCTGCTGAAAATCCTCGTCGCTTGGTGCCACTGCTTCTTCTCGATTGGGCTCATCATCAAATTCATCCATTGGCACAGGGACATCCTCTGGTCTCACCTCCCGTGCAGGAGGTGGCAAAGCCAACGGCGCAGCCGGGCGTAGTGGTTCTGGCGCAGCCAGGGGCATCTGATCGCCACCAGCAGGTGGACTTGGTAATGCCCTTCTTCGCTTCGGGCTCGGCGCTGCCGGCACGCGAGCATCTGCCAACGCTCTCCTCCTCCGAAGCATCTGGGCGGCTCGCTGAACCTGATCCTTCAAAAGGTTCCTTACCGTCCTTGAGCCTCTCATCATCAAGCGTGCTCGCTTGCTCTCTTCTGGCTCAGGCGGTCTTGTCGATGCATCTACTGCCGCCCGTCTGGGTCTCTTACGTGGTGGAGGAGGCTGTGGTCGTAGTTCCTTGTACATGTTCTGTCGGCCTCCATCCCTGAGCATATCACCGACACCATCCATCTCTTCACGAACGGGCTCCGTCAGTGCCAGCTCTTCTCTCGTTGCTAGCCTCATGTTCTCTTCTGCCAGCAACAAAAGCCGTCCCCGCCAAGAGACAAAATACTTCTTGGGTTTCTCCCTGATGAGGACAGTGGCTGGGCCACGCCATGCACCACCCTTCTTGTAGCGCACCCCCTTTTGTGTGCTAGGTGTCCAAAAATAGACTTGCGCACCAGGAATGAAAGGTCCAGAGTGGGAAACAGCCGGCTTCCGCAAAACGGCTCTCCGCACCTTCTCTCGTACATCATTCCTCAAGAGGGCAATCCGTGCAGTTGTCCGCATCTTATGCGCTCGGGACACCTCACTGTCGACAGAGACGCCCTCTGCAAAGGACATCTTGGGGTCCTCATCGTTCAAGGATGGCCACCGGGTCTCATACCCGAACACTCGTTGGTTTGGCGTGTAGCCATCCTTTGTGAGCGTGCCATTCTTGGCGGCTACTGTCGCAGCCAGTCCTTCTTTGAGGCCCTTATAGCCTTGCAGACTGTGTTCCTGCACCACGGCATCGAGCATATCTCCAAGGAGGCCTCCATGCCTCTCTCCAGCTGCCAGCTGCCATCCGGCATGAGCAGCGGTCACCTCACTCGGGATGCTAAGCTGCTCCAAGTAAAGGGTGAAGGTCCGCTCGAATTCTCCTCCTTGGTCTGTTGTGACCTTTCCAGGGACTCCGTACAAGGAGATCCAGTGTCGGAAGAATTTCTTGGCGATGTAAGTACTCTGCTTGGACTTGACCATCACCGCATCATGCTTAACCGTCCCCAAGTCCAGCATTGACAAACATGTGTACTTTTTCTTGCGGCAATCGTACACATACTTGAGGTCCAAGTGCACGTGGTGATTGAACCCATAAGGCCTCACACTCGGCGCAGCCGCTTGAGGGTGTCGTGGAGCCGCCCGCTGGGCGCAGACATCACATGTCCATCTTCTCGCCCACCTTTGGGCATCTTCTGTTGCTCCACTCATCTTCAACATTCTCACCAAGGTGCTTCTGGAAGGATGTCCCAGTTGTCGATGGGCGAATTCCACTGCCTTCCGCACCTCCATGGGAACCGGATGGCGCTGCCCCTCCTCCGGCTCCTCATCCTCTTCTTTTAGGAGCCCTGTCATCTTCTCTTCTTCTTCGATGGCTTCTTCTCCTGCCTGGAGGTCACCATCTGACATAGCTCCCTCATCACCATCGTCCTCAACGAAGGTGCCTTTGTGCGCTGCACGAGCTCGAAGAAAATCTTCAGCTCCATCAATGATGGCATGACACAGAGGAACAGGGTATCCTCCTGCCCATTCACTCAGTGAGCGCCACTTGCCATCAGCTCCTTTGAACTTCCCTTCTATAGGCCAGTGCTCATGGCTGTGGTCACACTTTTTCTGGAGATACCGCACCACTTCTTCTTGTCCTTGAAAACGGGTGCGCTTTCTCATAGGTGCACCTTCTACTGGATGCTTCAAGCCATACTGGCATTGGTCAGCGACTGCCTCAGAGCAGCCATGAAATGCATCCAGAATCTCCGGTGTCTGCCATGCACGGCTGTTGAAGGGATTCTCACCCAATACTGCTTTGTGCCTCCGGCGCTGCCAGAGTATTGCACGTCTTGTGAACTGCAGGAAGACTTTGCGGGACTCTAGCTGCTTTGCATGCAGCGCCGCTTTCTGCTGCGGTGTCTTCTGGTTGAGGTACTGCAGCTGAGTCCACGGCCCGCACGGCCAGGCCACCACCAATAGATCAGGCTCTGCCTGTTGGATATACCGCATAGCTTCTTCCTGCACAGCCGGACTCCTGATGTCCCAGCCAGGCAGCGTCACTGGTTCCAAGAAGGTCCATCCTCGGCTGAATGCGATCTGGCTGACCATACACGACCATGTAAAGATCTCCAGGATCCGCCAACGTTGTCTCTTCGGTGGTCGAGGGATCCTTGTCCGGTCGGCCATCAAACATTGGCGTGCAGCAGTGTCTCGGCTTGCTGCTTCCGAAATCTCTTTGGTCGCTGCCAGAAGTCTTCTTCGTTGACCTTTTGTCAGCAGTTCATCACTGGCGCTGCCAGAATCTGCCACCAAGGTGTCCTCCACCCTTGACCACTCTTCTTCCTCCGACTCCGAGGACTCTGATCCACTCTCTTCGACCTCCTCCATACAAGCTTCATCTCCAGTCTCATTTCCAGATGTCGTCTCATTGCCGGAGCTGGTGTCATTGCTATAGACACTGCCTTCTTGCGAGCTGTTGATCTCTGTGGTCATGATCTCCTTGAAGGCACCTGGTGGTAGGGCCAATTCATCCCACTTGGAGATGGCCTCATCTTCCATCATCTCTTGCCAACTGGCAGCGGCCGTGACAAAACTCTCATCTCCAACTTCCTGTAGCTCAGTAGGCTCTTCTTCATCCGTTTCGCTGTCCGGCTTCTCTTCAGCCACCTTCTCAAGCACTTCCTGAAGCAGTGCCATGCTGTAGGGGTCAAAAATGAGGCGTTCCCTCAACTTCCACAGTTCCGGTGTTCCCCACGCTTCCGCACTCAGCTCAGGTGCTGGCAAAATACTCAGCACTGGATGCCGGGAAGCAGACAGCTTCAATGGGCACCACAGTCCATCATTCACTGAAATGCCTTGCTTGGCGAAATCAATCTTCGCATTCCACCGAGCTAGCTCTGATGGTCCCACCAGAGCAGGGCAGTCATCAACACGACTGTCCTTGGTGGATTCAACCACGGCCAAGCGAAGCCAAGACAACATGCCACCGACCTGAACGGGGTACAGATGCGCCTCTGTGCTCAACACTGGTCGGCCTGCTCCAAAACGGAAAACTTCCTCATGCTCTACGGTGCTCCATCCCAGTCCTTGCTGCTTCAGCATCGTCTGGAATCGTCGATGCCAGCTGGCTCCAGCCACGGCAGTTCTGCAGCCGGTATCTAGGATGACCTCGCGGTCCTTCAGCAGGAGATTGGCTTCCTCCTTCTCCCGCTCGACCATCATAGCGCCGTGCATGTGGGAGTAGTAGAGAACCTTTCGAAGGCGGCACTTCTTGCAATCTGCCCAGTGAGCCGAGCCATTTGCTCCCCACTTCAAATCCTCATATGCATGAGGGCAGACTTCTTGTTCTCCTTGTGGTATGTCCGAAGCTTCCGACGGGCGCAGCCGTCCACGGCGATCCACACCGCCTTCATATAGAGCTCGTCGAAACTCCTCCATCTTCTTCTTCCGGACTGGGGCTGGAAGATCTGTGCTGCTTCCTGGTGGCGCGGCCACACTCGGGCTTGAGGCAGCACTTGAAGCTGATGCTCTGGACGGTGATGTCCTTGGAGGCGTTGCTGGCGCAGCCAGACTCTTGGGCAGCGGCCCTGACGAATAGCCTTCTGATCTCACCCGTCGCTCCGGTCGCTGAGTCCGGTGCAAATCTGAAGGCAGCGACCGACAGATCTCTTCCTCATGCTCCCTGAGCAGTTCCTTCAGCAACGTCTTCTTCTCCTCCTTGCTCAGGTTTGGGAGCAGAGCCAAGATCTCCTCCGGGTTCACAGACATTTCCTTGTCCTTCGTCTCTTCTTTCTTCCTCTTAGAAGCCTTCTTGTGATAGCGCTTCAGCTTCTTCACAGCTTCTTCTTCTTTCTCGCCCTTCTCAAGGGCCTCCAAGATGGCCTTCAGCCTCATCTTGTACTTGTTCTTCCTCACCTCTGCTTCTGGTGGCAAATCGGGCGGCTTCCATGCTGGGGGTTCTTCTGACTCTGAGCTTTCCACTGAGCTCGCTTCACTGTCGTATTCTCCCACCAGACTCCAGCCAGTGCCCCTGCTCACCATGAAAGTCCAGTTGACCTTGTTCACATGCATTCCTGGGGCATCATCTCCTCGGCTGGTGTTGGAGCCGACGCCATGGCTTGCCAACGAATCCGATGAGCTCTTCCCAGGTTCGTCCTTCATATCCGTGAACAAAGTTGAGGCCTCTTCTTTCACCCCTTTGGGTGTGCTGGCACTCGACCGAGGTTGATCTTCGCCACTCTTGACCTTTGGGCACTCCGGATCTCCTCTCCAGTGCCCATACCTCCGGCAGGAAGCGCACTGTGAATTCTTCTTCCGATCATCTGGCTTCCTCTGGTCCGGTGGCCGATCCTTCTTCTTGCCTTTCCCTTTTCCTCGGCCCTTATAGCCGCGTCCCTTACGCAGGTCTGCACTTTGCTGCTTGGCCCTCCAGCCGGCAGCATAGGCTTCTTTGAGGTCTCCCACGGACCAGTCATCATCATCCTCTTGCCAACGATCATGCCACCACTCTTCATCATCATAATCGTACTCGTTCTCGGCATGATAAGCCTCTTGCTCCAGGTCCTCATTGTCGAGGTCGTCATCTTCATCTTCCTCATCGTATGGCTCATCATCGCCATCTCCATAGTCAACTTCTTCCTTGACCTCGGCCAGATGAGTTCCATGCTTCTTCTTCCAACTCTTGTCCCCTCGGAAGGGCTTCTTGTAAGGCCGGGTCTTCAAGTTGCCATGGCTGCCGTGGTGATAGCTCTTGGCCTTCTCCTCAACATGCAGCTGGGCACAGCGAAAACGCATCACCCTCTCAATCTCATGGCTTCGGTACTTGCCACCGGCCGCGAAGAAGATCTCCATGCGCTCCTTCTTCGTCAGGCCTGCACGGGTCAGCATGCGCTGAGCGAAAGCCTTGTCGCTGATCACCGTGCCGCTGTCTTCTTTGAGATACTCTCCTTTGAGTCTCTTCAAAGTGGCAAGATACGCTGCCACTGAGAGGCCGGGAGCTCTTCTGTAGGTGTTGAACGCCTCTTGCTTCTCTTCGAAGCGTTCATCAGACCTCGTGCCGTAGGCATCTTCAAGCAGCTTCATCATCCGGTTCAAGCCACCGGGCTCGTTCATATCGGACACTTCAAGTTGGTTCACCACTTCTCGAGCCTCCCCGGCGGTGCTCAGGAACACCAACATGGCCAACTCCTCATCCGTGAGCCTGTAGAGCAGGCGTTGGGCTTCCAACGTCTTCTTCCAGTCTTTGAAATGCTCTCGCCTTCCTTTGAAGGTTTCGAGCTTCACCTGAGAGATGGAGGCCTTTCCTCTGTCTTGGGATCTCTTGGACTGGTCTCTCAGGAGGTCACGGATCACGGAAGTCTGCGCACTGCTTCCTCCATCCGACGGGGCACCACCGATGCTGCTTGCCGGAACTTCAGCACGGTGATCATCCTGCGCCCTTGGTCGGGACTTGGCCGCAGTCCGAGCCTTCGCCTTTGGCCTAGCACTTTCCTCCCTTCCAGGTCGCCGCCTGCTGGGAGCGGGCTGATCCTCAGATGCCGGCGGCTCCGACTCCGTCTTGACTGTCGATGGCCGCACTGACGGATCATCCGTGGCCGTCTCTTCCTCCGGGTTCTCCTCCTCGTACGAGTACTCGCTGTAGTACTCGTACTCGTCGCCATCCGGCTCGGGGTCGCCGCCCCCCTTCTGCAGAGCCCTTCTTACCTTTGCCCTGCCATCGATTCGGCTGCTTGCCTTTGGACCCTTTTCCTTCAGTCGCAGACTGCTCTGGTGGTCCACCTTTTCCTCCTCCTTTATGACCATCTGGATTCCACCATCGACTGCCTTTTTCCTGCGGCATCATCATGGGTCCCATGCTTTGCATGGTGGGTGGCGGCATCATCATCTGTGCCGTCTGCTGTGCAGGAGGCATCATCATCTGCTGCGGTCCCATCATAGCTCCGAGCTGTCCCATGCCCATAGGCATCATCAAGGGATCGCATCCGAAGCCAGGCACCGGCATGGTTGGTGGCCCCATGGGCATACCCATCATCCCCACATTCGGCGGCATCATTGGTGCGCACCCCATGGGGTTCATCACAGGCATAGCCTGGTTCATAGTGGGCAGCGGCTGGTTCATAGGAGGTGGCACGAAACCTTGCTGCGGCTGCGACCTCATATCAGCAAGGATCCTCGCGAAGCCTCCAGGTGGCAAGCAACCACCATTTGGGGTCGGCAGACCACTCGATCCAGGCGCTGCCTGGTCATGTGGACGCTGTCCATCACTGGCGCTGCCAGGAGTGCGTACCGGCTCGGCCGGATCAGGGCGCTGCCCTGCAGCGGCGTCCCACTCAGGCACAGGGACCCGCTCTGCCATTGCTCGGCCCCCGGTATTCGGGGGCTCCGCTACCAATGCGGAGTGCGAAGTAAAAGCAAAGCTACCAAAGCTAACGGGGCGCGGCCGAAGCAACTATTTCAAACAGGCGAGCCAGCGCTGACTGCGGATGCGTCAGCGGTCTCAAGTCAAAGCCACCACATGGCAAAAACGTGCACCGACCACCATTTCTCACACTATCAACAGAAAGACCGTCGTACGACCCATGCCTTCAACCATTTCATCCAGGTCCTTCTGCTGCTTTGCTTGTGTGACCCATTGTTGCGCCAATCAGGTTGCTCATAGCTCTGTTAGGACATTTTAGGCGATTGTGATAGCTCAAGACAGATTCAGTAGAACAATCCCATAGAGATGGTGGCAGCTTGACCGTGAGTCTGTGAGACAGTGAAAAGCGGTCCAACGGAGCCGTTCCTACAGTAGTTCTTGGCTCCATGATAAGCACCGATGGTGACCATGGGAGTTGTTGAACACGTTCTTCCTTGCAGTTCGATTCTGCAATGATTGTGATCATGTTGACTAAAAAGAGGGAAACCACCCACCCCACTCACCCCACTCACCCCTCACTCGCACCTCTGCTGCGCCTTCAATTCCGCGATGGCTTTGCCCGCCTCCGCCCTGGCGCGAGAGAGCCGCGATTCGGCGCGGGGCTTGTTGGATGAGGCAGCGCTACCGGGCTCGGTGATGGATGCCAGCTTGCTCCGGCTCTTGGATTTCATGTACAAGGCGCGCCACGATGGCACTGCGGCAGAGTTGCGATTTGGTTCATCAAGTTCATACCAGCTTAGAGCAGGTACAACACTGGTCATTGACAGGGAAGCAAGCAACATCTTATGAGGACCGGAGACCACCATGATTGAGATTCCTTTGGTCATTGGTCAACGTGTACTGGACTCCAATCCTCAGACTCACACATCCCCATGCAGAAACAGCAACCATAGAGACAACCGCCTTCCCAATCCCCTTCAAGATTCTCTCCAAACTCGATCAAACGAGATTCTCGAGATCGTTCTGTTTTCGAACGCCGCGTCGTGGCGTCGCGTCGAGAACGTCGCACAGGTGGAGCTGTTCCAACAGTTGGATGCGGAAGAGATCCTGCAACTGGCGCCAGCCTTCCAGCGGCTGGAAGCCCAGGATGGTGAGAAGATCGTGTCCCAAGGCACGAACCCCGGCTCGGTTTGCGGCGGTCCCGTAGGTGTGGTGGATGCGATGCGAAAGACTGGCCAAGCTTGGGCGGGAAGACCGGTTGCTGATGTTGCTTTAAAATAGTGGTGGAAATGCCGCAGAATTCGCGTGATTCAATGGCATTCAGAACCAGTAACCGGTGATTTCAAGAACGCAACCATTCAACCATTCAACCATCACCATGTGGCTTCACGCTGTCGACCTTCCAGTCGTCTCGCCTCAGTATGGTCCAGGTGACGAAGGCGATCAGCTCTTCTTCATCGAATGTGGAACCGTGTCGGTGCGGGTGTCCAACGGTGGGAAAGAGCGGGAGATCACCACGCTGTCGCATGGTGACTACTTTGGAGAGGCGGGCCCACGCCCACGGCCTTTTGAAATCGGCCTTGGCGGCCGGGGTCGAGAGATGGAGAGATGCGGGTGTTGCTTTTTTGGGGAAGGCACCCACTCATACAAACTTATCCTAGGTGTCCTTCTTGCACAGTCAATACCCATGAAAAATGTGGTCTTCGACGGTTCGCAGGATGTATGGTTTTAATTCCTCTGCCAAGAGCATTATAGAAAGGGCCAGAATCATTATCCTACTACATTTGTGCACCAATCACAGATGTTGGAACTTTATATAACATTGAAGATGTTCTTACAGTCCAGCCTAGTTCCCGTCCAGATTGCGGGACCTTCTTGCTTTAGACTTTATGTCACCCCACCGGCTGCCGCCCACCATGAGAAGCCGCCGCTATCGCGGTGGCCACCGACCGCTCTGCGGCGCGTTCGACCGAAGGCGGCGCTGCTCCACGGCGCGCCGCGCAATGCCTCGGTCTACGCGCTCGGGGAGGTGCAGCTGCGCAGTCTGAGCCGCGAGCGCTTCGAGGCGTTCGACTTGCACCGGAAGTTGAACCTGGAGGTGGGACGGACGGAGGAGAGACGGATGGAAGAGGATGGACGGAGGAGAGACGGATGGAAGAGGATGGAGGGGAGATGGATGAGAGACGGATGGAGAGGAGATGGAGGGGCCTGCGCCCGTAGCCTGCAGCGCATGGGGGCTGGGCTGGGCTTTCTTAGGAGGGTTTTGAAGAAAGGGTCCGTGATTGAGTACAATTCGCATGTGGAGACTGGTTTCTATGTTAGGCCTTTATCGCTGTGATGCATGGTGGTTTGGTGGTGCGTAGGAGGGAATTTGCGATTGGGGGTTGCTTGTCGTGTTGCTGGTGTTGGATGATCTCAGAGGCTCAGAGGACTCAGAGGGGTGTCATAGCGGATGCTTAGCGCGGCCTCACCATGAATCCCTTGGGTGCTGAGGAATCTCTGGTGGCTCTATGGGGTTAATTCTGAAGATCAAGCAGAGCAATCAATCTTTTGTTCACCAGAATTCTGGATAGGAGATGTAATTGGCGATTGATGTCTACCATAGATTGGCGTCCCAATCGCACCTCTTGCATGTCCATCCGGAGTCAGCCTTGCATGCCATAAAATATGACTCATGACTCATGACCATACTTTCAGGCAAAAAAGGGTGACCTGCGGAAGCTCTTTCATTCGGTGGAAAAATACACCTTCTTGAGAATCCCTGATGAAGAAGGGCTTCTCCAGCTGCTGTTGTTGTCCAGTTAGCGCCGCGTCCGCAGAGAACCGCAGGTGCGAGATGCGCGGATGAAGAACGGGCTGCGTGAGCTCATGGGAGGCTTGGTCTCCGTGAAGACGTTCTGCAAAGCCGTCCTTCTGATCGGCATCTACTTCGGAGTGGCGGTCTTGATCTTTTCATCTTTGGAAGGATGGACTGGGCTTGATGTGGTCTACTTCTCCATCATCACTCTTATGACTGTAGGCGGGGGAGGGAGCTGGAGCTGAGGGAGCTCTGAGTCCTACATTCAAGGAGATGAAGAGAGTTCTTGACCATAAGCCATAAGCTATGATGCTGTCCATATTCCAGCATGTTCCAGCGCACCCTCATGCTTGTTCACATGTGGCCCAGGGGTTCGATGTTCCCCATCGATTCCCCAAGATAATAAGCCCTTTGTTGTAGAACAAGTTGGTCGAAACTCCCTTAGGAACCCTTCCTCTACAAGCCAACGCCTCCACAACCAGCAGCGCCTCACTGTGATATATCATTAGGTGATTCCTGTATATAATATACATGATGAACAACTCATGCCTCACCGGGTGAATCGAAAAAAACAACACCAGTGCTTCATCACCCCCCCAACCAAAGCCAAACCATGCCCTTGCGTTTCCCTGGCGTTTCCCTAGCGTTCTCTGTCGTCCTTTGGTGGGGGGAGGCTATGGTGATTACGCGCCCAAGCACTGGGGCTCTCGCTTGACCTTGGTCTTCTTCGTCTTGGCCTCATTGGTGCTGGTCGCCACCAGCATCGGCGAATTCCTGGAGACCCTGGTGGCCCTCGAGATCCGGAACGAGCGCGCGCGCAAGGAGCACCGTGAGGGCCGGGGGTCAACGGTTGACGGCCTGCGCCGTGAGGTTTGGGACTAGGGGAGGGTTAGGGGAGGTGTTTCCAATTCCCAGGTTGGGGTGTTTTCCTTTCCCGTTTGGCGCAAGCTTTTCCCGGATTTGTTTTGGATTCTTCGCTTCCCTGAAGCATAGCTGACCGATCCGGGCCGTGGCTAATGCGTTACGCGTGATGGGCCGACCATCTGCCCCGGTGGTTTCCTCCGTGGCACAGGCCCTGCAGCTGAAGCAAGCGCGGGTAGGGGTCTTTGATTACAGCGGGCAGCGGCAGCGCTGGCGACGGAGGAGCGTGGCCGTTTTTCTATGCGCGTCATGTGTTTCTTGTGGGGTGGAGGTGTGGAGGTGTGAGATCGGACCAGGTGGTCGAGAGGTGTAGTAGGAAGTGTTCATGTTGACTGCTGATGAATAGATCACCCCTACTCCTACCTGGATGCTCAAATATCTTTTTGTGGGGAAGTTCATTCGTCAACTGACTCTATTATATGCAGTTGTCAGTTCTATGAAAGATTTCTTTTTACCTGAATCCACCTTCTAAAAATCCTGGGTTCCTCCGTGTTTTCAACGGATCACACCGCTGTTTTTTTGCCGCTGTTTTCAGCCGTGGGAGGACCTGCGCATGTGTGGGGGCGCTATTGGGGCTCTTGTTGGTGAGCTCCCTGCTGGCGAAAGCCTTCGCGCACAAGTGCCACACTTGGGTGGATGCCTTGTACTTTAGACACCTGGTAGAGTGAAGGGTATGGTGTCGGACTAGTTGATGAACCAGTCCGCTCTCCCATATCGGAGGTGTAGAACCATCCGGATAGGGAGTTTCACCTATCAATTTAGCTGATTCCTTTCGCTTGTTGAGAGCGAGACCTTGGGGGGGACCAAGAGGCGATGATGAGTGATGAGCTTCGACATGATACATACGCAAGCTTTTAGTGAGCTAATGGCGCTTTGTTTGAGAAATCCCAAAGTGAGACTGAAACTCGAACGGCCCATGCGTATTTATGTTCAAGGGTGGGTTGAGGAGGGTATGCAATTTATGACCCAAGTATGTTGATGTGAGATGAAGAGGGGATTGGATGTTGATGTTGATGATGGGGGCTCCTCTTCTTCTAAGAGGCTAGCAGATGTAATGTCATGTGCTAGATCCTCTGGGTCATACCAACACGTTTCACCTATGCCATGGGAGCTTACACCAGCACTTCGTTCGATCTTTTCTGGAAACTTTACTCCCTGGTTGAATGCGCCTAAGCTGGTGAAGAACGCTCCGCCTTTAGATCCCCCGAGACCTGAATTCAGGGAACAGTCTGTGGCGATTAAGGCTGCTTCGATTTGACATGCAGTTCATATGGTCGCTTCTGAAAAAACTGATGTGGATAGGAATCGGGTTATTCTGAAATGGCTCGAATTAGTTCTGGCTAACCCCACTGGTTCGAGAGTTGGGCTGCAACTGATTTCCGAGAACAATGAAAAGATTGATGAGAACAAGAGCTATAAAATCCTAGAGGACACACTTCGATCTCGGGCAACTTCGACATTGGAACTGAGGGCTTCCTCTTTGGCTTTATACGTAAAATGGTTTGGAGAGAATTTCAGTGACAGATCATTTCTCCATTTCAATGAAAATGATGTATATACATATATGGATGATCTTCGTACAAAGGGTTGCTCGGCTTCTCGCGGTGCCACATTTGTCGGTACATTGGCTTTTGTGGGAGACTTACTAGGAATGACAGGAGTTGCTGAATGTGTGCAGTCTGCACGTGTGAAAGGAGCATCTCTAGGAATGTTTCTGGAGAAGAGGCCACTCCGCCAAGCTCCTGAGTTGTGGCTCATCATGGTCCTCACCTTGGAAATTGCAGCCTTTTGTGAAAAGGACACTTATTTACGTGCTTTGGCTGGGTTTGCACTTTGCTGTATTTATGGACGGTTACGAGTATCGGATCTGAACCGATTAGTTCATATTAGCATCACTGATGAATATGCCGAAGGATCACTCATGCGTGTAAAGACGGCAAGGACGAAGGAGAAACAGTGTACGTTCCTTCCAGTGGTTATTCCAACAAAAGGTTTTCTTGGCGTTGATTGGTTTACTGCATTTGTGACTACGAGGAAACGTCTTGGCTTAGCTGATTTTCCTACTTTGGAGTCAAAGGCGCCCAACAGGAAATTCGTTGTGCTACCGTCGGAGGACTCAGTGCATTTGGAGCTGTGTTCAAAAGTTAGCGCTACTCAGGTGACCGAAGGCCTCCGAAGTTTGTTGGGAAAGGTTTTTGCAGAAAGCCAGATTTCAGATATTCCTCCCCATTCTTTGAAAGCAACTGTTTTGACATATGTGAACAAAGCTGGTATGGATCCGACGTACTCGGAACTTTTGGGCTACCACCTGACTATGCGCAAGTCAGCCATCAATTATTCTCGTGGTGCCCTTGCAGCGCCTATCAGAGAAATGATGCGGATCCTGCATTCGATTCAAGAAGGATCCTTCAGGCCTTGCTCTCAGAGAAGTGGCATGTACCCTGAAAGCAGTGAGTGGCAAGAAATTGCTGAACAGCTGAAAGGGTATTGTGGCATGGATTTTATGGAGTTCACAGAAGGATTTTTGACGTACAACCCTGAAGATATACACTTAATGCTTCAGGCAGATGAGATGCAAGAGATGTGGAATCTTTTGTGCAGAGAGCCGTCTGCATTTCATACGGACACCTTCAAACCCAAAGGTGATGTAGATGATTACGTTCAGGCATTGAGTAGCTCCGATCCAGGGTCAGGCAGTGATTTTTCTGATTCAGAAGCCTCCTCAGCAGAAGTGGCTTTGGCAAGCATCTCAGAGAAGACGGAGTTGAAAGGAGAACGTAGGAATGTTTCTCAGTATGCTGTTTTGGATGTGATGTTTCGACACAAACGCACGCGTGTGTTGCACTATGGGCATACAGATTCAGACAGCAAAACCGCATGTGGACGTTTGCTGGGAACTACATACAGTCCTTATTATGGCGACCCAGAGAAAGCGTGGCCGCATTGTATAGCATGTTGGGGTAACTAAATGCTCAAAACACGACGGTACTCGTGCTGTGAAAAAAATCAACGCTGATTCAGGTGACATGCCATGTAGGTTGTGCGACGTGCACTAGGAACTGCTGATAAGTTTTCCTTTGTGAGGCCGTTCCTGAACTTCCTGAGAATTATGGGCACAAGAAGTCACGTTCCTACTTTGACTTAAGCCGAATTCTCAGGCGCCGCAATTATGGAAGTCCTTGTGCCCCCTGCGCCATCCAGAGGACTGCGGATATGTGGATGTTGTACAGCTGATGTAGCTGCGAAAACTGTCAGCAGTTCACGTTGCATGTCATGTCGATTATGTTGCACAGCAAACATGTGGAAGAGAGAGAGAGCAAACAAATTGTTGGAGTTTGCTCTTCACTCATGATGTTGATGTATGCCAATAAGCTCAATGTGAGCAGTGTTGGAACCCTTGAAGGGTTCGATTGGCCGAATTGTGAGCCATGTTGGACTCAGAGGCCGATTTCAAGTCTCGGTGCCGCGAGGTGGGCTTCGAGAACGATGACATCCAAAGGCTAATGGCTTTGGGCTATAGCACTTTTGCTAAATTAGCATTCGCTAGCAACTATGTTCCTGGCCAAGCAGATGAGGGACCTTTGAAAGAGTTAGCAGTGGAGATCCTTGGAGTTGATCCCCCACCTACCAACAAGATGCCGCTGATTCGTCGAATGGTGTATGAATCGTACACCCTAGCTGCATCTGATTTGAAGATGCGGACCGAGCGAAAAGACGATGATGCTCCACGCCGACTCGCTCAAGGAGAAAGGTCTGCGCGATATGCTGAACAGAAGGCCAGGCTGACAGGGGTTGACATGACGGGCGAGATGGAGCCGTCACATCATTTGATCGATCTTGTCTACAACATGGCCGAGGATAACCAGCTTCGGTACATCAAGTGGGAGGAGTGCACTAAGAGGGATCAAGAGTTGATGGGAGTGAAAACAGATCCCATATGGCGTGCTGATGCATCCGGTGTGATCAAGGAGGTGAAGGTAAAGGAAACCCTTCGTGCAGAGCTTGACACTGATTTGAAGCTGAAGTTCTTGCTGCAGAGGCGCTCACTAGCCTTTGACCAGGCGAAGCTTCTTGACTACGAGCTGTTTGAGAAGTGGACCAGAGTGCTTCTTGAGGCATACAGTGCTCCGCCCCCGGAAGGCTTCCTGAAGGTTTCCCTCGAACAAGCTCGAGCGGACATGGAACTTTTCAAAACAATGATGAGGGAATCTCGAGGAGGAATCAAACCTACAGGAGCAGGCCAACCCCTCAAGGATGTCTTTATCGAAGCCATGAAGACCACGGATGTGAGAATGCACCTACAACCTCTTCAAGGAGCGTCCAAACGTAGAGCAGATCAGATGTCAGAGAGTTCCAGCTCGAAGGATGACGAGCTCACCAAGATGCGCAGGGGGCAGCTCAGAAACAAGGGTGCCGCGAAAGGCGCAAGTCGAGCTTCATCGTCGAGCACTACACCTCCGTCGAAAGCTGCAAAGTCGAAAGGGAAAGGTGGGAAGCGATGGCTTATCAAGTTGCCCCCACCTTTGATTGGAATGTCTCCAACTACTCCAGATAATGAGCCAATCTGCTACAACTTCAATTTGAAGGGATGTGACGGAGCAGCTCCTGGGGAACGATGTGAACGAGGGTGGCATGTTTGCATGATGCCCGGCTGCACCAAACCGCATTCGGTGAAGGGTCACAAGTGACACGATGTTGACGCTCAGCTGAGTCATCGAGATGAGGCAAAGCAGAAGCGTAGTAAGCTGGAGAGTAGCACTGCCAATCGAGTGAACTCGATATGTATAGAACTTTGTCCTGGTTGTGCGAAGCTGTCTGCAACCTTGAAGTCGAAAGGATTCAAAACAATTGCTGTGGACCATTCTAAGAATCGTCATCGTCAGCATCGCCCATGTGTTTTAGTTGATCTTGCAGATGAAAGTTGCATTGAACAAATTCAGTGTTTGCTTGATGAGCCGGGTCAACCCATTTATTTGCATGCTTCCCCACCATGTGGCACAGCTTCACGAGCAAGAGAGAGAAAGATTCCACTTCGCCTCAAACGACAAGGAGCTCCAGAACCCAAGCCTCTGCGCTCCTCCAGGCACCCACATGGCTTGCCTGACTTGAAGGGTGTCAATAGAATCAAGGTCGCGACTGCAAATCGCATCTATGCCAACGTTTGCGAGCTTATTCGATCTGTAGGACCCAATTCCATTGTCACCATCGAGAACCCCAGGCGTTCGTACATGTGTGACACAGTTTGGATGAACAATTGATTAGAGACATGGGTCTTTTTCCGGTTACCCTTCAGCAATGCATGATGGGTGGTACAAGGGACAAGTGGACTACACTTTATAGGAATCATGAGGCATTTCAACGATTAGCCATAGTCTGTGACAGGTCGCATTCGCATCAACCCTGGGGAGCCGAATATTCCCAGGACGGGTGGAGATTTGCTAGTGCGGCTGAAGCTGAATTTCCCCAGCTTCTATGTGATAGAATCACTCAAGTTGTTTGTGAGGCAGCACGTGACAACGATGTTTTGCTTTTGCCGCAGCCTGCTAAGCGACGAAAAACCCTGACAGCTCAACAAAGAGCTGCTGAAGCAGGTCGTCAGCCTAGGGGGCAACCTCCTCCCGCAGATCATTCCGGAGTTTGCATGTACTCACGATGTTGAATGGCCGACACCCGTGCCCACCAAATCCTTCATGCTCACAGACGCACAACGTCAGCAGTATAACTTGCCACCACTTTGCAAATTTCTGCCACCGCAAAAGGGGGATGTCCAGACAGAAAATTGCAAGAAAAGTAAGAACATGGCTTGGGTAAAAATCGGACAGCTTTGAACACCTGATGAGTTCTGCACCAAAGCGCTCCAATTGGATCACCCCTTTGATGGCGATACAACAGTCACGGATGATGCCAAGAGGGCTATGTTCTTGCTGCTCACGGAAGGCTTGGATCACATGAAGAAACTGCGTGACGATCTCTTCAAGCATTATGATGACCTTGCAGTGAACCTGGAGTTGCAAGAAAAGTTGTTGCATGATGGGTTGGATAGTAACCAACGTGAACTACTTAGCGGTAAGAGGCTTCTCCTTTTCCGTCAGATGTGCCGAGATGCAGCTGTCGAAGATGAAGGTCTCTTGGACATCATGTTACAGGGAGTCAAGTTGACGGGTCGTGCAGCAGAAACTGGCTTATTCCCTTTTGAAGAGATTGAACCGTCCATCACGGAGACCCAACTTATGAAGTCAACCCGTTGGAACAGAAAGAAAATCTTGATGAAGACTTCGCCTGGAACAGATCGGGTCAAGAAAGCCATATGGGAAGGAGCCTCAGATGAAGTCTCTAAGAAGTGGCTTGAAGGACCCTACACGGAAGAAGAGCTGATTGCTGAATTAGGCCCCCTCTTCGTTGTTTCACACAGGTTTGGCTTGGAGCAATCTGATAAAGTTCGAGCTATCGATGACATGTCAGAATCCCTGGTGAATGCTTGCTTAGGCTCTGTGTGCAAATTAGACCTACCCGGAATTGATGGGGTGGCTATTTTAGCACGAACCTTGGTCGAAGCTGTTCGGGAGGTAAGATTGTCTTCAAAATCTCCAATGGGTCAACCTTGACTGGACGGCTACATGAGTCCTTAGACTTGACTAAAGCTAGATCTCTTCGCGGCCGGACTTTGGACTTGGATGCTGCATACAAACAGATTCTTACATCCAAATGTTCGAGGTGGTGCTCGGTGCTGGCTGTAGAAAATCCCGAAGGTTTCAAGAAGCTCTTCATTTCCAATGTTTTACCATTTGGAGCTTCAGCAGCGGTCTACGCCTTCAATAGGGTTGCCAGAGCAATTCATGTGATCGGTGAACGGCTCTTTGGTTTGGTCTGGAGTAACTATTATGACGATTACCCTCAGCTGGACCTTGCATGTTGTGGCGATGAGGCACAAAGGACTGCAGAAAGGCTTTTAAGTCTTTTAGGTTGGCGTTTCTCCTTAAAGGATTCGAAACGAAAACCTATGGATTTTTGCTTTGATGTTCTTGGGGTTACATTTGATTTGAGCTTGAGCTACAAGGGACGTATCATGATTAGGAATAAAAGGTCCCGGGTCTCTCAGATTTCTCAAGAGATCGAAGACATCTTGAACTCTGGATCGTTCAGCCCGGCGAGAGCTACATCCCTAAGGGGACGTCTTCAATTTGCTGAATCTCATTGTTTTGGCAGAGCCCTTTCTGCAAACCTTAAGCAATGGCAGCTGAGGGCTTCGGGAAAGATGCTTGGCTCCTATGTGACACGGCTCTCCGCGACGAGCTGAATTGGGCTAAGTGGTTTGTGAATCAAGACCACCCTCGAATTCTTGAAGCAGGAATGAGACAGAACAAGATAGTCATTTTCACAGATGCAAGTTTGGAAGGTAACGATGAAGTAGCAGGAATTGGCATGGTAGCCTTTGTAGTTGAAAACTCAACTGTTGCACACAAGTTCTTTTTCAGTGAAAGGGTTCCAGCTAATATTTTGAATAGCTGGCAAACCCGAACCAAGAAGATCATAGCCTCTCTCGAACTTTTTGCGGCTGTTGCTGCATGTGAGATCTTAGGCGAAAGATTTCCAGGTTTGTGTACTTTTGTTTACATCGATAATGAAGCTGCACGGGCATCCCTGATTGCCATGTATAGCACAGTGCTGCTTCACATTACTCTTTTAAAACAACTCTCTTTCTGCTCCCTGAAGAGGAACCTTTTCATGTGGATTGCCAGGGTCCCATCCTCTTCTAATTGTGCAGATTTTCCTTCGCGATTTATTTTTGATCATTTGATTTCAGAAGGTTTCGCACGTGTAGCTGTCAAGTGGCCGGCTCCTTGAAAAACTCCCAAGCCTGAAGTTAAAGAGTTCTCACTGCTTGCATTCAAAGGGGGTTATCTGGCAAGACATGTGAGAAACTTCGATGTGCAGTTCACTTGCCGCTATGTTGATGTTGATGTCACCAGGAGCTCGATCTCGAGGACTACCCCGGTTTCAGAAGAGGACGTTGCAAGGCCGTTTTTTCTGACAAGCATGGGATGGGAATGAGCAAACAAGCAAGCTTTTAGTGAGCTAATGGCGCTTTGTTTGAGAAATCCCAAAGTGAGACTGAAACTCGAACGGCCCATGCGTATTTATGTTCAAGGGTGGGTTGAGGAGGGTATGCAATTTATGACCCAAGTATGTTGATGTGAGATGCCCGCCCCCCCCACTCCTATGTTAATGTGCTTGGGGGTTATCTGGCAAGACATGTGAGAAACTTCGATGTGAAGTTCACTTGCCGCTATGTTGATGTTGATGTCACCAGGAGCTCGATCAGGAGGACTACCCCGGTTTCAGAAAAGGACGTTGCGAGGCCGTTTTTCTGACAAGCGTGGGATGGGAATGAGCAAACAAGTATGTATGATTGTGTGTGTATGATTATGTATATATATTATATACATACATGCATATAAGTTTGGTTCTACCCTTAGCTGCTAGCTTTAGATACATGTTGCCTTTCCAGAATTGTATTTGTACATCCCGAACTCCAAGAAGCAGCGTAAATGCCATCCCTCTTCTTCAAGCGTACACACCCTGTAAAAGGGATTTTTGTGCAAGTGACAATGTAAAAAACACTTTTTGAAGACGCGCTATTTGTGACGTTTCTTGCCTTTTGCATGTTGAGACTTGAGACCACCCACATCGTGCACAAAAAACACTGTGAATGATGTAATGATGTGTTTGTGAAATACTGCACGTCCCAGACATGCATCAAATTCGAGCCAACATCCATGAACAACACGATTTCGGGTACCCCCCAAGAAAATCGACACTTTCCCCAAAATAGCAAAGATCATTGTCACAAATCCAATTCGGTCATAGCTCTAAGATCTCACACCTACCATTGGCCAGAGCTCAGTAGAGGGTCCGTTCTGGATCGGTGGACTGTGCGAGGTCTTCAATTGATCCAAGAGCTTTCCGCCATATATGATAACCCCAAAGATGACTTCTCCAACAATGTGTGAAGGGTCGTTCTTTACACGGTTTCCGGCACGCGGTCGTCCGGTCGTCCCCAAGGCGTGGTGACACTCTCTACCATCGGCTACGGCGATTTGACGCCAGGGCGTGAGCCGGGCTCGCGCGTGGTGGTGGGCATCCTGGTGCTCTTCGGCGTGCCCTTCTTCGGCATGATGCTGGCGCGGATCGTGGAGATCGCCTACGGCCGTGCCAAGAAGATGGGGCTCCCCGCCGTGGTGGGCGGCTTGACCAACGAGAAGTTCGAGCAACTCATCGAGTTCACGGACCAACTCTGGAGGGCGGGGGGCTACAACTCCCGGCCTCAGGACGAACGAGGGGGTCATCGCGGCGTCCGGGGACGTCGTCTCTTCGTCTCAGGTCTGTAGAGTTACGGACCCCTTCCGCCGAAGGGAAGGGTCAGTTCGGCAGGGATGGGCAGTTCGGGATGGGCAGGCAGGCAGTTCGGGTGTAGCTTTCGGAGGTCGTGAAAGGAGGAGTTTCTGCACGTCGCTTTGGGTGTGTTTCCGGCTTCTGGGGGAACCAAAGCGAGGTTTGGTTTGGAAGAGTCAAGTCTTCGTCTCCCCCGTTTGACCCATCCAGGTAGGGCTATGGTCACAAAGGGCAGGTGTTGACACTGGACACTTGTCGCATGGTTCGAGTGGCGTTATGGGTTTGCACTGTGCAGAAGAAGTATAGTGGTCCCCAAATAGATGACCGTGGCATGGTTTCCAATACCTTTTCTACGTGGGGATCTACGAACTTCTATCTATTTGGGGGTGTACTGTAGATATTTCACTGCTGTTGTGGGCAATTCCTGCGCAAGTTTTTTGAGGACGGGACATGCCCTCATGGTCATGATGAAGTGGAGATGCTGAATGGGATATGTTTGGGGCGTGTTGCGGATGTTCTGTAAGCTTTATCATCAGTTGTAGGCTTGTGACCTTTGAATTCATGGATTGATCTTCCCAGCGCCACAAAGAACAGGAGAGCTTGCGTGAAGAGATCACTCCCTTCGAGTTTCTTTGCTTCATGCTCACGCAGAATGAGTCTGTCCTTGGCCCTAACTGGGTGTGCAGGAAGTGCTGAAAAGTCCTTCTGGCCTTTTTTTGGTGTGTTCATTATGATAAGGAACATGAGGAAAGCTCCTCCCTACGTTTGGAACATGGGGCACCACTGCGTAGTCGCCATATCATACATTTAGGCGATCTTCTTCAGCTGTTCTTTTAGATGCAGAAGACCTCCTGGGCGCGAAAGAGAGAAGCACAGCGGAGAGACGTGTGGCTAAAGGGGGCAACTCGGGTTTGACTAGACCTTCGAGGCTCTTAGGTCTCCTCTTATCTTCCGCGGTCCATGTCCGTTTTTCGGACAGCTGTCCGTTTCGTTTTTTCACCTGGGCAGCAACCGCAGAACTGATATTCCACGGAACCTTACGGGGGGGGGCCCTTTATTAGAGAAAGAGAGAGAGAGAGAGATTGCAAGATTCCAAGGTCTCCTTAGATGAGATCAAGCAGATCATGGCGAACTTCTCAGAGTTGGACTTGAACAAGACCGGTCTTTTGGATCAGTCTACAGTCGACGAGTGGCTGAGGCGGCGTCTGTTCCTTTATGGTTTTTCACATGCTCTGGATTCTCATTTGCGGTGCGATTTTGGTGTCGTCCGTTATGTTTTGCTCATTAGCGGAACGTGGGTTTCAATGGAACCTTTCACAGAATGTGCAACATATGCTCCCTCCACCACAACCGAAAGCACTGCCCAACGTGGAAGAATCCTTGGGGCAGATTTCACTTTTGCACGCCTGCTTTATGGTTCCAAAGGAGAATCATTTGAGAAGACCATATTGATGGTCCGGAAAGACTCCAACTCTCCTGCAGCTTTAAAATCGGGTTTCCAAACAGACGGGTCAGAACCCTAGCCTATCTCCATTGTAGCCTCTCTTTTTTTCCCAAAGGATTGCTTCTTCATGCTTCTTGATCGTTCCTATGCCTTACAACCAGACACCGACTTTCAGCTGGAACCCTGTCTGGTACGCGACGCCCGTCCGGTCGTGAGGCGTGGCTCCAGCAATCCGCAGGGCTTCGCACCCTCGAGGCGTCTGAAGCGACTCACGACCAGCCCCAGCAACGCGACGGGCCTTGGCCCCAGCCCTTGCAGCAGTTTGATCTCGATGGCCACAGCCTCGAACACACCAACCTCGCCTGAATCTTGAGGAGGTGATTGTTTTTTTTTGGAGGTTCAGCCTCCGAGTTTGTCGGAGGTTTGGTCCGCGATCGGGCTTTCAGGACAGAGGAGGATGAAGATGGTTTTGTGGATTTTCAGAAAGACTTAGTCTTAGCAAGCTAGTTGAGCCAATTGCTGGCCGTCTATGCAGAAGCACTCCTTGGCGAAGCCAATGCAGTTGCTTGATTCTTCAGAGGCGGTCTGTTTTTTGAACTGACCGCGTGGACTCAGCGCTTTAGACGTGCCAAGAAAAGGCGTTTTTTTGGGTATGCTGTGGCCACCCGCTAAGGAGAACTCAGGCCTAACAATCCCAAACCAGCTGCATCATCGACCATCGACCAAAACTTGAACCCTTTGGGTGAATGGGTGTGCAGGGTTCAGTTCTCCATTTGGACCAAGAGGGTGTCCTCGCAGGACTGTCTCAGTCCAGGGTGTGCAGGATTGATGCGGAGCGGGAGACCATCTGGACCACTCCTTTTGGATCACCTGGGATGAGATTTTCACCACATGCCGCAGATGGCAGTCATGCAGGCCCCGACTTCCGCAGATGGCACCCGCCCCCCCTCACCACCGCTCACCCCAGAAAAAAGGGGGGTATCAAACAAGGGAGGTACTCTTGCACCGACTATAGACACGTGCCTCTTGTAGAAGTTCATTCCGTCACATCTCCGCAGCTGGATGCCCGATGTGTGACGTCCGCCGAGCCGTTCGGACCAGGCCTTCACCGATGAATGCTTCGACCCATGCCATGAGGCGCGTCGCGACCAGCACCCGGACGGAGCGGCACGCTCGAGGAAGGGGTTCAGAGCCCGGTTCCCTGGCGTGTTGATGGGGTCCCAGTTTCCGGTGGCCATGAGGGTGAGAGGCTTTTGTCACATGTTTTGCCCAGCTGCAGGCGGCAGGCGGCGGCCTGGATGGCTCGGCTCCACCATCGCGTGACGGCCGCCGGCCACGACGACGGGTCGGCCGCCGGTCCTTCTCCGGCCGGCCCTTGAAACCCGTTCGCTGGGCGGATTTCACCGGTTTCACCCTGTCTCACTGCGTTGGCGCACAACGACACGGATGACCTGACAAGTCCCACCCTCGGCCGAAAAGACAAAGGACCGAGCATGGCGGGGCGCCACCTAGTCGATAGGCCAGACACCTGTTTGCTGAGCGATGCTGGCTGCGTGTGGGGGCTTGTGGTGAGGCCTACTGCAAGGGGTCCCGTTTCTCAGTTCTTCAAATGGGTCGCTCTACATCCAATGGGCAAAAAACCAGCACGACGTGTGGATTCAACTGAGCAGATGCCCCCCGACAGCCTGAATCGACGGATTTTGGTGTAGGACGGATGCTGAGATGGGGATTCGTTATGTCCACTGACATAGGGATTTGTCCAACAAGAATCTCCTGGTTTGCTCAATCCGAAGTCTTTTTTCGATGTGCCAGGTAGAGAAGAAGGGATTCATGTGGAGCACTCAGCCAAGCAAGAGATCGTGCATAGTACGGTGCCAGTACGTACGGCCACCCTTTGTGCCTTGCAGTACTTTCGCACCATTCCAGCAACTATACCAGGACCCTCTAAGGGGTGCCCTGTCTGGAAACCTATAGGTAGTGTGGGGTAGTCCAGCCAGGACACCCCTTGGAGGGTCCTGGTATAATAGATGTATTGAACAAAAGACAGCTGTACAGCTGTACAGCTGTTCGGAGAAGAGACATGGAACATCATTCAACGAGCTCAATCTTTAGAAGGAGGTGAACTCCACACGACGGCATCCCTATGATATCTTTGACAAACAAACCACCCTTGCCCCCCCCCACCAAGGCTGGCGACAAAACCAGTAAGGGATACCCTCATCATGTCCACCAGTAACAGTCAGGTCTAAGACTATCACGATTGCTGTAACCAGCCTCCATCATCCACGGGGCGTAATGTAATGGGATACTCCCTCTCTCCAACCAACATGGAAGTGAACCGCTCCCTTCTGATTTACTGTAGAGTCTTTCCAAAGGCGCCATCCACCATTTCCCACCCGGGCAGTGGCCGTGCCATCCACCTTCCATCCACCATTTCCTGTGTTCATCCACCGTCCCCTTGCATTGCTTCAGAAAGTGTGCCACAGGAAATGGTGGGAAGGAACACCATCCACCACCCTCATCTACCACCCTCATCTACCACCCTCATCCACCACCCTCATCCACCACCCTCATCCACCACCCTCATCCACCCTCATCCACCATTTCCTTCACTTTCATCCACCTTCAGAACGTGTGCCACACTTCCGGGCACCGGACAGTGCGTCGTGTTCGGAACTCTTGGAGCCTTCCCAGGCCCGCCTGGGATGAGGCGAGGGGGTGGGACCTCGGCGGACCCCGGTGGTGGCGGGTGTCGGCGGGTGTCGAGGGAGATCCTTTTTCGACTACAACACGCCGAGGGTTGGAAGAGGAGAACAAACATTAAGGTTGGATTTAAACCTCATTCGCCAGCTTATCAGTTTCTTTGTGTTTTTCATGGTGGTATCACACCGAGGGTGTTGCCTCCCTGGCGAAAGACTCTGACCAGAGTTCATGTCATTGATATGTGCTTTGATACACAAATTTTTTCCTTGGCCAAAGATGACATTTGACGCACATAGCATGGAGCACCACCCGAAGTTCTCAGACCCAAATGTCATTTTAGCACCCAAACTCATGGGTTGGGTTCCCATATTCATCCATCTTCAGTGTCACATGTTGCACGCCCACACGATAAAAACACACACCAAACCGGTCACCAATTCTAAGGGTCTCATGCCTCACGCTTTCAGACCGGCCATTCTTTCGGATCTCCACAGATGTGGTGTTCAACCTCCACGGACGGACCGATGCGTGCGTGCGTGAGGATCCGGAAGCCGATTCTGGGGAGCTTCTTTGTGCATGCCTTCCAACAAGCTGTTGTCCAGTTGGGGGACCAAGATTGGAGTCAGGGAGCTGGCTTGTGAAATAGAGAGAATTGCCATAGGTCTCATGATGGCTAACAAGCCACGGTGGCTTGTTGGCATCTTGCCACAGTCCAGTTCAAGCTGGTGTGGTTCCACCAGCTGATTGACTGGACTGCCAGCTGGTTTGTTCAACTAGCAGTCCTTCTACTACAACGAAAACCACTGGACGGAGTATTGCCCTAGACTAGATTCCGGCAGTTCCCACAGTGTGTTTTTTTTACAACTCAGTTTTCATCCGTCAAGATCTGCAGATGTCTTCCCCCAACCATTTGATCCATCCACCTGTGCAAACTGGAGGTGAACCGGAGATGGAACTGACCCATTTTGGAGAGGGTGCTACTGGGGGGTGCTATTGGTTCACATGGATTTGATCTTCTGTGGGCATTGAACGCAAGTCCAAGATTGTTGTATGGTTTCGTGCTTTCATCTTTTCATTCGACAAGCCAGCTTGGCATCTGCAGGTCGTTCGCAAGAGACTGGCCTGCCGGCGTTTGCTGCAGGCATGGAAGGTTCTTCAGTCGAAATGAGGGGACTGCACAGGTGAGAATGACCCCAAATATAGCCTGGTTCCTGGTACCTTTTCTTGGCGGCAGCAGAGGGGATTGCGCAGCAGTGCCTGGGAAAGGGTGGCCCAAGTGCCTGGATTGGATGTGGCAGTGCCTGGCTGCTGCCCTGTGTTGACCCATGCAGTGAAAATGGAGTGTTGCATCAGAGGAGCAGGGTTTGTTGTTAAGGAAGAACAGTGTAACAACTTGAGAGACCCAGATCCACCAGAGATTTGAAGATGTTTGGTCACGACTTGTGTGAGAAGCTGTGGGCTACAACTTGAAAACAACCCTCGTTCCCTGATGTTTGTCAGCTAACCAAGCATCGTCCCTGATATGTTGCATTAACCTGCCATGCGAGGAAGCTGTGTGATAACTAGTAACTAGGAAGTTAGGTTCTTGAGCCAAAACTACTAATCACGAAAGGTAGCTTGAGCTACCTGAGTTCTCCTTGCTTTAGCAAAAATGTATTACAATCAGGAGTTGGGATTGTGCATTGAGTTTGGTCCTGTAAGAGATGATTCTGTTCGTCGGGGGGGGGGCCCCCCCCTGGATCAAATCCCCCCTGCGCCGGTTCACGCCGTCATGGACTTCTACCAGGGTTGCTTGTGATTGCCTGCTACCTTTCGTTCACCCCCTCCTCTCTCAAGTCCACATTTGTCCAAGCAAGTGGTTTGCATCAGCATCCCAACAGGAGCGGTTCCCAAATCCATCGCGGAATCGGCCAGCACCACTGCCCCCAGTGAAGCCACATCATATTTAGAGACCAAGCACCGTCATGGTTACCCTCGATTGGTTTTTCAGCTTTGTTTTCAAGGTCTGGTGGTGCGTTTTTCATGTTGGTTTTCCAAAAACCAGTCTAAGGGTTCATGTAAATCCGTGGACGTGACACCTCCCTGCACCAGGGCGGCGCCTGCTGCGCCGTGGCCTCTGCTGTGGCCTCCGGCGTGCTGGCGCGGGTGCTGGCGCCGCCACCCGCGGAGCCGGCGCCGCCACCGTCCTCCTGCGGGGTGGCACGGAACTCCACGACCACGTGTCGGGTGACCCAGGGGAAGAAGGGGAAAGAAAGAGAAGGAAAGAAGTGAGCTAGGGTGAAGCGGAGGTGAAAATTCAAGTCTTTGTTGGGTTGGTTAGGTACCTGGGATGATTTTTGCATACACAATGCGCAAAAACGGAATGATTGCAGTTGAGAAGACTTGTTGCATTTGCTTGGCAGAGCACCAATGTGTATTCCAAAATCCCCCCAAACAAACGTCAACCACTCTTGACTTGTTACTTGTGGATATCAAACAACAGTTGTATTCAAGGATGTAGGATATGAATTGTGTCCCCTTTTTCCTTGCGATTCCTTTTCCAGGTGTGCCCTGGACCTTGGCAGGGACGCACCTCTTTGACCGGAGAACAGGCCGATCGCGGAATGTGTGGATGGGGCCAAGTAGCTGCTAGCCACTGAGGTACTCGTCTCCCTCCAACATCCTTGTGGATGTGGCCCCCTTTTGGTTCTAAAAAGCAGTCATTCTTTTTTTTGGAAGTGCTATGCCTATGCACTTCCATGTTTGGAGGCGGTAACTTGGGATCATGAATCATGGATATACAGGAGTGTACGCTGTATATCTTATCTATATAGTTATATATATATAATGAAGAAAATCAACCTCCAGGAATCTCTCTGGACATGAACCTTGAGGTTTCAGCCCGTACGCCGCGCAGGTGAGTTGCAGATGGACAAAGCCAATACGCTGGAGGAGACTCAGTTCACTGGTACGTTCGGTCCTCCATTGTGTGGAGATGTTGACCTGGAGGCCTTTCTCCCTTGGTCTTACGTCCAGAGGTTGGGGAGTTGGTGGTGGTTTTCTCCCAGAATTGGTTGAAGGGAACATCTGCAGGAAATGATATGTATCGTTTTCGTGGTGAAAACCGTTTCGGATGATGCAGAGCCAACCAATGGCTGACCCGAAGCTGGTCCGGAGCGCTGCGCTGGCAGATGAAGCTGCAAACGTCACAAGTTGTTTTTTTTTTTTTTATGATTCACCCAGATATATAACAGGACTGAACAACCCACAGCAAAGGTGCTGATGAACTGCAGGATTCCGGAAGTGAAGTACCAGGTGGTTTCGAGACCTCAAGGGCTTGTTCTCATGATCATCAAGCTACATCATCAAATGCACTCTCTTTTTGCCAGAAACACAGACAACACCGAGACTGGTCTCTGGAAGAAAGACGGTCTTGTCCCGGCCGGGCTGTGGACTGCTGCTTCGCAGGACTGCTGCCAGGGCTGTGACGGTCTGGCAGAGTGCCAGGCATTTGACGGGTAGCTCCCGGGGCTGTGACGGGTAGCTCTGAAGTGACCTCGGTCTGGGTAGATCATCTGTGCGGGCCCTGGGTGCTTGGCCGTCTGACTCGTCCCGTCTCCGCAGCGCGATGGCAGTTTCTGGGCTATTATTGGTGCAGGACCGATCGGTCAAGTCACGAGCCAGGCCACCGGTCCTTCCCAGGCTCGCCAGAAATTGATGGATGAAACACACCCAAATGGCTCCCATGGTGTTTGTCTGGCAACGGTGTGTTTCACACACCGGTCCCTTCATCGCCGAGACGGATGAGAACCGAGATCACCGGCAAAGACGGATCGATCGCCTTGCGACTCGATCCAAGATCTCCGGTCTCAGAATGTGCTGAGACCGAGCAGATTTCTTCTTTGGCATTCTTTTTGGTTAGCATGGATACGGGCAGAGGGTGTGTTGGTTGAAGGCGAAACATCATCGGTTCCGTTACTTGGTTAGCAATTTGCAACGACACGATGGACCCTCTGGCCGTGGAGGCTTTGATCCAAGGCGCCCTTGGAACTATCCCAAACACCTGAGGATGCTGGTTCCACTCCTTCACCAACATCCAGGTGAAGACCCCATATCAATTGGCGCCCAGGAAACAGGGTTGTCAGAACTGGAAGCTGAAGTCCAGCAGAAGCCCATGGGTGAGCGCCGCGAATTCACGCCCTGGCGCAGCATCTTCCTTTCCTTTTCCACCTCCTCCCCTCCCCGGTCTTCGTCCTCTTCGGCGCGAACCGGAACGACCTCCGAATCTCCGTTCCGCGGCGCATGGCTCGGACCTCGCGGCTGGAGGCCTGGATCTTCGAGCGCATGGCCAAGCGCCCGGCAGCTGAGAGTTGGCGACGGGTGGTGCCCTTGGGTGCCCTGGGTGTAACAAAAGCTCTTCAGAGTTCGATGTGAATGAGTGTTTGTAAGTGGATGGTGACCTCCGTTTGTACCAACCAACCTTCAAGAGCACAGGTCCCTCCAAGCCGTTTGGAGCGTTGCGGTTGTTCGCTGAGGAGTCGGAGCTCGTTGGTTCGACGGTTCGCTCTCGTCCAGTTTCGCTCGTGTCTCGCGGAAGTTCGGATGCTTCGGACTGCTTCAGGGGAGTCTGACGGATGCTTCGGACTCCGACGGTGCGATCCGTGGCGTTTCCGTTCCACCCCAATGGCTGGTCCCTCTTGATCACCGAAAGAGAAGGTCGAGAACTTCGAGAACCTCGGACCCCAAGGGCTCCCTGTTTTTGGAAGTGTCCCACTTGCCCCGAACTCAAGGCTCCCGGTGGTTCCCCCGAAAGCATCCGCTGGTACCGCAAGCTCGCTCGCAGCACCGTGACGAACGAACCGCTCGCTTGCTGCACCGGCTGGTTTCAGGATGCCGTTGGATCCGCTTCGAGGATGAGGTTTGTGAACGAAATCCTGAACATCTTGGTTCAGAGCTCAGACAGAGCTAAAGAACAGAAGCGCAGAACTGTGTCTCTAAGCTAAGCGTCGCTTGGGTGGTCGAACCGCCTTCTCTGGTTTTTGTGTTCATCTCTCTCGATCTGTCATGTCGAATAGAACCTTTCGTTGTTCATGTGGGTTTGTCTCAAACATTCAAAGGGGGCCGCTCTCTCAGTTTTGAGACACACTCGTATTTTGTTGTAAGGAGTGTAATGCACAGACGAGTTAGTTTGCAGCTTGTTGCCATGTAGATCGGGGCCTTCAAGAGCTTTGCTGTAGCACCTGCAGGTTGTAGATGCTACACTCACTGGGGCACCGTGGCGTGCTCAGAGCTCTCGACAGGAAAGGATGTCTATCTTTGCTTCTGGGAGTCTGAGGCTTTTGGCTTCAAGGCCAAATCGAATCTTGTTTGGCTTACAGCCAACTGAGTCTGCCAAAGGCAGACGAACACCGGTACAAAGGTACGTCTAGTCGGCCCTTAGCCGAACGAGCAACGCGGTGTAGTCGGCAGCAATGTTTTGGCATCATGTTTGTTCGGAGATGATACCTTTGTGCAAACAAGCCCAAAGCAGGTTGACCCAGCGTGCGTTCTCGTGCATGCACATGATAGCTTAGTTGCTCAAAAGGGTGCCGCTGGATGCGGAGGGAGTTCTGTTTTCTTTGTCGTGCATGTTTACATCTCTTGACAGCAGAAATCCTGCACCACCTACCGAGTGCCTGCGCAAGGATCCGGCGACGCATGTCGCCCTGAACTGCGTCAGACTCTGTGGCCGTTCCATGAATTTTTGCATCAGGATCCACTCAAGCCGTTGGGCACAAGAAAGCTGGGCCAATGCCGACAGTTGGCACTCTGAAAGTCTGAAAGGCAAACCGTAGACAAGAAACCGTAGAACTTTTACATCAAGCCAATGCAACGTTGGACATTTGAGCTGGGTATAGAGCATATAGACCAAATCGAGGTCTTTGAAGGCACTGTCCCTGATCTTACCTTTATTCATCACTAAATTGCAGACATTGAATAGCCGCTACCGCTACCTGCCGGATGTCGCTGACCGCACATGCTTGGGAGCTGCGTGCGCCAGAGGAGGGCGATGGTGAAGCGAAGACTGCCCGTTGCCACGTCTCTTTACTGGTGGATGCGCCGCAACGATCCCCTGCGGATCTCTGTTTGGTCATCGATGTTAGTGGGTCGATGCAGATGCCTGCCGTGTTGAAGGCGAGGTGGGTGGGGTGAGGAGGAAAGGATGTGTCCCTCCAGGTGGTGGTCCAGAGTCCAGAGCTTACGAGGATGGGTCCAGAGCAAGTGTTTCTTTCTGTGAGTGATCTACTGAGGGACATATTACAGGAATCATATCACACACATGCTTGCTGCTTTGGGGTAGAAAGCAGAAGGACCTCAAAGTAGCTGTATACCAGTCTATATATCTATAACTATCCTATATAATCATTAGGTCTCTTGCAACAGATGTCTTGCAGACTACAGATGAGAGGAGTTTTGATCTGTTTTTGAAGGCTCTGACAGGTTATCTTTCAGCACGTGGGGACTCAAAATAGGGTGCAGCAGAATTGGAAACATTAGGGGCGAGCTTTGTGAAACTTTGTGATCATGTAGTTCTGATTCTGACAGGACCAGGAATCAGCCGTTCTCAGCATTCTGGACATTGCTTCTTGGAATTGCCTGTACTGTACAAGGAACGTGATGGAAAGGGAACCATAGGGAACCTACTTGCGATGGCCTCCAAATAGTTTTTCTTCTTTGCAGCTTTGTTCTTGGATTGCAAAGTTGGCTTCTTCGGGGCGCGATCTCCGAGACGAAACTCCCAGATCTCAGGTGAGCCACAGCTGCCGGACAGTTCTCCAGAGCTTGTCACCCGATGACCGGCTGGCCATCGTGACCTACTCTGACCAAGCACAGGTGAGGGGCTGTTGGGGGGGAGGAGCTCCAGTTGCAAGGAGGCCGTGACTGGTATACACTCCATGAAGGGTTTAAACGTGCATGTTGGACAAGGGCATGGTGTTCCATGTCACTCCTGGAAAGCGGGTTCATCACTCCTTCCAGCGCGCTTTCTGGAAAAAAAAAGAAGAAGAAGAAGCTGCGAAGCTCGCCTTCTTTTTGAAATAAAAACAACAGGGGCCAGGCTTTTGCAAGGCCTGTTTCTTTTGTTCGGGTGGACGAAGCCTCTGGCTCTCCAGGCACCGTTTCCGCACTGGGACCTGAGGGACCTGAGGGACGGTGAAGCTGGGGTCGCTCACCGTTGTAGCATTCGATCCTGTACATATATGTATATACCGTATACAGTATGAAAAAAACTATATATATATGTATATGTAAATACATAATACGTACATATACTGGTATACTGTACATGACCTGGCAATCACCACAAGATCTTGGGGCAGAAGCTCAGGAGCCATCCCCTTCGTTCCTTCTTCGGGTTCGCCCGTCCGAACCTGGTGAGGTTGTCCTGCCACTGACGTGCATGGACGCACAGGGTCAAGGGGAGGCCGAAGCAGCGGTGCAGAAGCTGAGGGCCGATGGGCAGACGAACCTGTGGCAAGGCCAGGGATGGGGGTCGCACCAGCCCCAAAATCCCGGTAGAGCTCTCTGTAGTCTTTCCAAACTTTTGCCTGGTTTGTGATTTTTGATGTCCGGCTTAGGAAGGATAATTTCAGTTTAGACCACCGTGGCCCGAAATCATGGAACTGTCCCTGCTGCCAATTGCGGTAGCTGCGTTTTGGGGCCCGTGTTCTGCCTGCTGATGTGTTTTCTTTCCTGTCCTCGTCCAAGTAAAACCCTCAATGCCACCAAGTGGTAAAGATCGGTTCCTCGTGTCATTGGGATTTGTTTCAGTGCCTCACTCCGAACGGAACCTCAAAATCTTCCTGGTTTTGGTCCGAACAAGTCTCAGTTTGTTTCCTGTTAATTGTACATGCTTCCGCTGCACATGATATTGCTGATCAAAAAGCCAATGCATTCCAGAGTATTCCAATGACCCAAATCGCCTCCAAAGTGCCTTTGCGGTCTTGTTTGCATCGCCATGATTCTTGGATTCAGCATGGGCACTTAGAGGAGTGGTTTCTTGAAGCTATTGTACGGAAAAAAACTTCTTTAGTGAATTAGACATGGCATTGCAAGAGGGATTGTGGAGTTTTTGCAAGGACATTGTCCAAGAGAGCTTTTTCCTTGTGAGGTGCATGTGATTAGGAAAAATCATCACGGGAAGGTTTACAGGCAGGGGTTCCTTGATTTGAACATATAAGGCTGCAGGAGCAGTGTAAAAGAGATGGAGGGAATCTTTCGGAGTACTGACCCTTTTTTGTTGTAAAGGCAGCAAGTGCACGTGATTTCGACCTGAAATGAGTGCTTGAAGACCAAATTGATCATATCTATGCATATTATGTATTTTTCTGTGTGTATGTATATATCTATGCATATTTTTTCCCCTCTGAACAAAATTCAACTCTGTCTGTGCAAGGAACACAGTGTTTAGAAGCCATGGTAAAACTCAAATTAAATGCAAAGCAAGGGCCTTGACCAAATAGGGACTCTCTTACTCAGACAGTACCACTGAAACCTTTGAGACCAGCTTCCTTCCCTTTACACTCATAGCATAAGCATCTATCTTATCATGAAAGCCAGCCAGTAAAGGGGGTGTGGGGGGGGTGGTCGCACACGATGCAAGTGATGTGATTGACGGCCAGTAGTGCATGATTAGCACCATGAGGGGCTCAGGAGACAATGTAAACCGTCTTCTACCAGGGGTGGGAGTTTATGATGACGATAGGAAAGAGGGGACAACGGGATGCGAGAAGTCGTTGGAACTCCTCCAGGAAAATGAGATGTGCGTCTGGTGGCCATTGAAATAGTGTTCGACTAGGCGTGAAAGGGAGGTGTGCGTGTCTCTTAAGACATTGTGTGATCTGTGAGGGCAGGAAAGGGAATAGAATGCTGTGGGGACGGTGGAAGACAAGCATAGTGGAGGAGGATGGGTCGGAAAAGAGGGTTTACAAGAAATCTGGACGTTGCTTGGGGGTGCCCTTTTTGAGTGGTAAAGATTCTTGTCAACCACGCAAAAGAGCATCCCATATATGGGGTGCGAGTTCATGTACTGAGGGGCAGGAAAGAGAAAAGAATGCAGTGGGCAAGCTTTGAATTGCGTGGGGGTGCCGTTTTAAAGCGTGAAGAGGCCTGTATAGTTGCCGGACCCAAAAGGGCACCCCACATGGGGTGGGAGTTCATGTGGATGAGACAGGCACAGCGGAGGAGGAATATCTTCTACCAGGGGTGGGAGTTTATGTCGACGATAGGAAAGAGGGAACAACAAGACGCGAAAAGCGGTTGGGCCCCCCACAGCCATCTTTGCTCACTGTTTGGCAACACGCAGCAGGCAAGTGCCCCTCAGTTCCTTAGGGGTGCCCTTATTCAGCTTGAAAACGCCCTTGAGCCGGGAGTAAAAAGGGCACCCCCCCCAAAACTATGTATTCTGCTTTCTATTTCTACCCCTGTCGGGGTGGCTGCAATGTCGATTTCACCCCATAGCAAAGGTACTCTTTGCCCGATGTTAGCCAATCACTTGATCTTGCACGCCAAGTCTTTGAGTTCCAGTGCGCTCTCGATTTCACCCCCCATTGTCACATTGATGTCTTCTTTTGGAGGCTGGTATCTTGAACAGAGACCATCAGGGACGAATGGCCGGGAATGTGATATGCCACATTGGCTTTGTTCAAACAGCACCTGTAACAACTGAGAACGGTGGACCGGTCCACCGGTCACAGTTCACACCACCGGCGGGGTTCCCATCTCTCGCCGTCCTTTGTTCGCAAAGAAGAGGCCAAAGACTCATGGCCACCGCGTTTTTCCACGAGGCCTTGAGACGGCCTTGGAGCTTTTTCGAACCGCGCCGGACCATGGTCCGGCACGGCGCGCTGCTGTTCCGGCAGCGCTGGTGCTCACGGATGGAGTGCCCAATGTGGAGCCCAGCGGGGGACATTTGCAAGCGCTGCGGAACTACCGAGACGCTTGGAAAAGTGAAGGGGAGTTCCTATGTGGGGTCTTTTCTTGGGAAGGAATTTTCAGACCTAATAGTTTTGCCCTAGCTGCTTAGTTGTAGCCTTTAATTTTGTTGACTGTAGCTGCCTATAATGTGTCCTGCTTGGGCGCTTTTCGGGCCCGTATAGAAGTGCGTGCAGTGTCAGACACAACAAGCAAAATGTGACAAAATCGTTTACCGCATGCACATTGACATCTCTTAGAGACAGGGCCTGATACCGTTTGGCCGTCGTGTGCGCAAGCTAGCTTCACGGCAGAGCTTGGAGTCACCAAGTTCACAACTCTGTCCGGAGACCTAGTACTCACAGCAGTTTGAATGACAGGGTGTTGGCAGCAGAGCTGGGAAAGAGAGCTTGGTCCTGATCCTTTTGCAGGTTCGATTCTCAGCTCACGCATGCGCTTGACATGAGCATTTCAAAGTCTTTTTGACACTTTGCTAGCTTCTGAATCTGCAGCAACGTGTTCCAAATGCTGTTCGACGGCTGCGTTTTTTTTCCTATTGATGCCGGTGAAAAAACCGGTTTTGAAAGACAATGATCAGACAATCATGATTGTGCGCAAGCGGCGACCACAGATTGCCCACCTCAATGCACCAAAAGCTCGGTCGGCGTATGCCTTGTATGTCAGTGCGGCCTATGCAGGCATGCGAGCACAGTGCCAGGATAGACAGTCGACCATAGCAGCCATTGCGGAGTCATGGAGAAACCTTCCAGAAGACAAAAAAACAGTCTATCAGCAACAGGCTGCACAGGAAGTTGAAACGAGGCGTGTAGCGATCCAGAGAAGTTTGGATGAAGTGCTTGAAGCTGATGGGATGGATGCTGACCGGATGGAGGAGACGGTAGGATCCTTCGTGCTACTTGCACTGGACCACCGCCTGGGTATGGGGAGTGGGACTTACACAAAGACTTACACTTGCAGGCGCAAGAGGACACATGTCGCGGCGATTGCCAAGCGGTTGCATGAAGAACAGTACTACAAAAAGGAGCTTGGCATTTGCACAGAGATGCAAGAGTTTGATTTGCAGGGCCTTTTCTTCAACCACCTCTATGAGCATTCAGACAGTCAAAGGATCTTGGTCCTGGACCAGACTTGCTTGCTGACTGTCAAGGCATACACCGTCTTGCGTGGAGGGCTGAGTGGGCAGAAGTTGGCGCCGGTTGTCGGCGCAGGGTGCTCATGCGCTTGACTTTCTCCATGCATCAATCGGCTACCATGGGGATGTCAAAACAAGTTGCTTGCTTTACAACCCTGAGACTGCCATCGTCAAGCTTATCACTTTCCATTTGGCTCAGCGGGCTTCAGCTGATCCTGTGAAGGTTCAGAGTGATGTGTATACCAGGTGCAACCGACCTCCTGAACTGTGGAAAGGCTTGGTTTCCAGTCAGCCAGCACTTTACCCGAGCAGTGAGACATGGCCCTATGCTTTGATGGTTTACGAGGCAGCAACTGGGACACCGTTGTTCTTGTCCTATGACAATATAAAGGAGTATTGCGACAAGGGCGCGACAAGGGTTTCCTAAAAAGTTCTGCCAGGAATCCAGCAACCACTCCGTTCAAGCGACTTGCACAGACCACGTTGACTTGCCAAAATGTTGCCCTGGCTGGCTCTCATGTGAAAGATTCAGATTCACGCTACCCTTGAGTTTATAGAGATGTGCGCGTACGTTTACACTCGTTTGTGGTGGTCATCGGGTTCGCTTCGGCCTTCGCTCGTTGAGAATGTTTTTGACGCTCGTTGCCGGTGAACCTCGGAGGTGGCTTCAGCAATCCAATCGTTGCACCGTCTTCCCAGCGAGAAGGTGCGACCAGAAGTTGCCTTGAAACATGTGTTTCTCGGTGTGTTTTTGCTATGCAGTATGGCAGGCTTTGTGGAACACAGTTCTCAGCTTGGCCAGAGAGGTGCCCACTGCGGACGGGCAGTGCTGCACCGAAGAGTTTTTGCGTTGTCCAGGGTGTCAGGGTGTTTGATGGACTGACATGCTACCTTTGATTCTGTGCGTTTTCCTCTCGAGCGACATGCGCGGCGGTGAACTGTGGCGCCTCGACTTTGGCCTGCTTCTGAGCCCGGGGCCATGCTGGTGTTCCTATGTGGTTGACTCATCCATCTGTTTACTTCCAAGTTCACACTGGGGACCATACAACTGCATGTTTTCCTCACCTGGCAGGTGAGGGTTGTTAAATAGATTTTAGCAGAGTTTTTCTCCTCCTTCTCCTCCTCCTCCTCGTCCTCCTTTTCCTTCTCCTTTGCCTTCCCCGCCTCGCCGCTGCAACTGCAAGTGCCAGAGCGCAGTCGGCGTGATCAGACTTGAGCAGCAAGCGCCCGAACGCTGTGGGCGGATCACAGTGGGCGCACACAGACCTCAACCGCGAGCTCCGGGGCACCATGGGCACACCCGCGCCACACAACCGCAAGCTCCGGATCGCAGTGGGCGAATCCGGGCTTCAACCAATGCCAAGAGCCCCAGATCACTGTGGGCGCACCCGGGCCTGCACCGCGAGCTCCGGAGCACTGCCGGGCCTCAACCGCGAGCTCAGGAGCACAGTGGGCACTGCCGGGCCTCCACCGCGAGCTCCGAGTGCGCATCCCAAGACAGAATGCCAGAAGATATGTCAGATAGACTGTCAGAAGATACGCCAGATAGAATGCCAGAAGATATGCTGATGGTGTGCCCTTGCGGTGATTGAAACTGCGGAGGCCCGGGCCCGAAGCCACAGATAAAGGCAGAAGACGTGCCAGAGAAGTAGAGTATGCCAGAGGATGCGCCGAAAGCTTGCCAGAGTGTCAGAAGGAATGCCAGTAGGAAGGTCAGAAGATATGCCACATAGAATGCCACCGACAATACCAATGGCAAAATGGCAGAGAGAATCAGAACAGATGCCAGATCGACTGGTTTTGAATGTCAGAAGACATGCAAGATGAAATGTCATAATATATTGCAGATATGTCAGAATCCAGAACATGTCATATCAGTAGTGCGAACCAGACAGTCAAAAGATATGTCAGATAGAATGTCAGAAGATATGCCAGATAGAATGTCAGAAGGTATGTCAGATAGAATGTCAGAAGATTTGCCAGAGGGTATGCCAGGAGGCTCGCCAAATAGAATATGTCAAAAGCTTCGTGAGATACAATCGCCGAAGGAAGGCCAGAGAGAATGTCAGAAACAAGTTCAAGTAGAACGCCACAAGGTATGTCAGAATGGTTTGCCACAATGTCAGCATCTTTGCCAACAAATTGCCAGAAAAGGTGTCGCGAAAGATCCAGCATAATTACAAAATAGGATGTCACATGATATCAGTATCAAAATAGTATACCGAACTACCACTGTGGGGATCACTCAAAGCAAAACGATCTTGTTAAAAGGTCGTATGTTGAGTATTTGTCGTGAGGCCGCCTGTTTTTTGGAAATCGCTGCTTCACACCTGCTGGGACCCACAGAGGGTCATCATTTTCTCTGTGGCGGACGGGAGCTTCGCATTGGAATCCATTCGGCAGCGACGATCTTGTTTGTTGATTTGCCGCAGCTCCACCCAGAAGAAATACGTCCTAAAGCACATGGCCGAGAAGCTGACGGTGTGGATTGGAGATGTGGGTGATGAATGTTTTTACCGCAAATTCGGCGCCGCTGATGATGCCTCACCGCCTCCAGTCCTGTCTGACCATGAGGGGCCCTCTGATAGGCCCGGAGAGAACGAGCGAAATAAAGAGGCCGAGACAGAGACCGCTTCTGTCACCAAAAGGGATGGCAGCGACACGGGATCTGCCTCAGGCTCCGAGGAAAGTTGATTTGCTCTTGACATTTAGAGCCGCTGTCGGGCAAGTTTCTTGAGATTCGGGCTGAGCTGCAAAATGGCTTTCCTTTCTCGCTTGACATCATGTCGTGGTAGTTGCAGCTGAGATTTTGGAACCTTTTCCAATGTGTTGGATACGGGATCATGTTTAAACTTCTTTTGGATGACCAGCAAGTTTAAAGCAGAACTACTGGTTCGGTCATTTCCTTTCAAGCCTTTGCCCCATCCCAATTCACAACACAGAACGGACCAGGAGATGTACTTGCAATCGAAGGAACCTCGAAGCTACACAAACTGAGTGTGAAAGACTGTGCATACATACATTTAGCAACCAATTTCTTTCTGTGCAGCCAGGCTCGCCCACAACCAATAGGCCCTGTGTTGTTCGCCGTCGCCTGCAACACCTTTGACAAGCAGGAATGTGAAAACACCATAGGGCTTGCCAAAACTGTTTTGCATCATCATGGAAGCGTCGCATGGTCTTGAAAAGAACAGAACAAAGCTGATCCAAAGCCACACCCCCCAGAAAAGAACGAGATGAAAGTGAACATTCTCAGCCATACAGATCTTCGCGATCAGGATTGAATTGGTGCCTGTACCAGACCGTGCTTAACCGCGTAATATAAACTAGTCAAGCCCAAGTGGTTTGTGACTTCAGTTGGTCACATACTGAAGTGTCCTGAAGCAAAGTTGCGTCTGCATTTGTTGCTTCGCGGAAGACCATGGCCGCATGCTGCCTTAGATTGTTGACCATGCAGGGCTACACTAACGTATATCAGTAGCCTGCGCCACTTGCCACTGTTCACCGACCGACCTCGTGGCTACAAGACTGGACTGATCAGCTACGCGAGCTTCGACCAACCGAATCCAAGGTTGCCTAGCCCGCCTAGCCAGAACATTCTTTTTGTTAGCGTTGCCGAATCTGATCTGTTGACGGTCGATTTGCTCCATTCTCCACTGACCATGAATGGCAGGGCCTGTTGTTTGGTCCACGTCATCGTAGTTTGGGCATCGTAGCGTTGAGCGCCAGGAACAATTTTGTTCAAAGGACGGAGCTGCAACTCAAAACTATAGAGTCCAAAGAACATGTCTGCATAGGTCTAACTTTCTCACAAAGCGTTTCGTGGCTTGATGCCTTCAGCTTGGCAGTGCAGTGATTGACGGATTTGGCCGGATCTTCTGGTTTATGCCATATGCGTGGGACGTACAAGCTGACACTTGCACTGGCAGGTGTACTGTGGCGCTTTGTTCCGCCTTCGTGAACAAGGCGCGAACACCGAGTCTAACTCAAAGCTCTAGGAGGTCAGGCAAGTCCCCCCCCACAAGATTCTATATTGGAGAACTAGTAAAGGTTTGGTTTTTGTTTTCATGCATTGAACTTTTTTTTGGAAGTTGGCTGGCTCCAATGATTTCAGACGAGTCTCTTCGGGGAAGCTTGCCAGCCAGTGGGTTGTCGGTTTTCATGGCAGGTGGGGCCTCTAGCCTGGGGTCTTCATGAGGTGGGGGGCCACAGCCAGAACATTCCTACCTAGTCACGCTTGCGAATGTAGATTGCATATATGCCAAGAATGCTGTGTTGCACTGGAACTAGAACGACGAACTGTAAATCCAGGGGGGGTGGACCGAAACCCATGACCAACGCACCCCGCATGGTGAAAGCTCAAAAGCTGTTGGTTGATTTTTTTTGCTATTCCTTTGAAGGGAACCACCCGAACAGCTTTAAGATGTAAAGCCGTCCTATGGCCTGATGTGATCAGAAACGGGTTGTGTCCGCAGGTCGTGTCCCGGCTGCTTTGGCAATTGCGCCGTGGAGTGAGGGGAAGCCAGTTGGATTTCAGATGGCTTGAGGGAGGATGTGATAAGATCAGAGCTCTGTCAATGTTGGGCCAATGGAAGTAGGTTGGTCACTCGCCATGACTGCCCCACACTGATCCTCGTGATTCGTGACGATATATGTAAAGTGTCAAGGTTGAATCAGACAATCTCCCAAGAGGTCCAGCTGGAATCCACACCTGCCGGATTTACTCCAAGCGAAGTGGAACCAATAAGCTGAACCTAGCGCCCAATCACCCCAAACAGATCAAAACCCACGATCGCCAACGGTTTACCCGCATGCGCGCAAGCGCAAGAGCAAATACAACAAAGCGTTTGCACATGGGTCTTCTGTAGGCCTATGCTTGAGCAAAGGGCAGCAGTTTGTTGAGACTCCGCCGAGTGTCCAGGCTTTTGAGCCCGAGCTTTGTGCGCTGGCTTGCGAGTTTAAAAGGCATATGTAGCCATCATATTACCCACACAAGCGGTGGTTTCCCAGTCATACAACCTGAAAACGAAAAAAAAGATTTGACTTTTTTCTGTGCATCCACTAAGAAGCTAGCTTGCCACACATCTCCATTTCTTTTCGGAACAGTTTTCTTGAACCATTCCACCCAACCAGCTACAATCCTCCTAGGCCTAGGCAAAGTGTTGCTATGTACGTGTGTGTTGTTCTCACTTTGTACAAGTCTGTGCATGTGGGCGCAGTGCATGTCTTTTATCCTCAAAATTAATCGGACAGCATCTGCTTCGAAGACATCTGTTGCGCTCCGAAAACATCCGTTTCAACCTGTTTCGCGGCCCTCGACTCCACAAGCTTCAGCTTCGACGAATTTCAAGCTTGGAACTCACCCAACGATCCCAGGAGCGAAATGGTGGCAAGTTGCCCTGTACAGCTCCTTGGCGCGAGGAGGGGGTGTGGTGTTGGGCGCTGCAGCCAGGGGGGGACTCATGCATTGGTCGTTGGCCAAGTGTCAAACACTCCTTCGACTTCAGGGAAGTGGGCTTAGTCGAACACTGTGAAACATGACCCATTGGCTGCTTGGTAGCTAATTAAGTAGTTTAATCCTTCAAAGCAGTGATCCCTTTCATCATGTTAGGTCAGGCAACTCTTTAAAACCAACAACACCTTCCTCAGATCTTCTCATGGCAACCCCATGCTTTTCAATCCCTTGGTTTCCATACATATATATATACATATGACAAACTAATATAAATTAATAGAATATAATAGCATACATACAATGTGATATAATATGCTATTGTAACTATAATATAACAACCCCCATCCAAACTTCTGGGACGTCCACGGGAATCTCGCCGAAATCGCGGAGGTTCACACCTTTGGTTTCAGCAGCGACTTGGACTCCAAGCTCCTCGATGCCTTGGCCGCCGGCGGCGGTGGCGGATTTGTCTTCATCCCGGACGCCGGCTTCGTGGGCACGGCTCTGGTGAACTGCACCGCGGGAGCGTTGGCGGCCGGCGGGAGGAATGCCCGGCTGCAGTTGAGCCTGGGAGACGAGGTGGGGAGGATTTTTTTTTTTTTTTTTTGATGAGGCGGTTTTTGATGAGGCGACGTCGGAGTGGGTGAGTGATGGTTGTTGTGTTTCCTCCTCTAGGACTCTAGGAGCTGGCAGACACTTGGGGCTTGGCAGACCAGTGGAACATACATGACAGGTGAGATCCACGAGACCAGTGGCGGCCACTAGAAAATTTGGAGGCCCACCACTCACCCAGAAGCTGGAGAATCTCATGAATCTAGGTGAAGTTTGGGTTGTTGGAGAAGATCTAAGCAGATTTTGGTGATCTGGTCCCACCAATCGGTTTCTTCGAACGGAGGTGAGCCTGGAAGGTGTCCTGGGCTACCAGCTGGAGGAGGCTGGGGGAGCTGAGCCGAGGCAGCCGATTTAGGAGAGAAACCATCAACAGAGCCTTTTTGTGCTTCAGGGCCCGGTGAAGGTGATTCAGAAACTTACCCCTATTTGGAGACTAGCGGGATGCTTACTGATCGTTTACTGGACATGTATAGACATGTACCCATGGAGATCTTCATCAAAAAGGTTTCACCAAGACACGCATCCAGTCCAAGACACGCATCTTCCCAAGAGCATCGCCATAGGCTCCAGACCCTCGTCCACCATGGATTCCTCACCACGTCCACATCTCTGATGTCTGTGTGCTCCTTCTGTGCCCCGTGGAGGATGGGAGCCTCGATTTGGGCTCCGTTCAGCTGGGCCAGCGGAAGGACTGCAGGAATTTGGTCGGAGTCGGGGGGACGCCGGGGCGAAGAGGGAAAGACGCCCGAACACATCGGGGAGGTCCGCTTTGGGATTCGCATGGTCAAGTTTTCGGGTCAGACAGGTCTTGCGAGGTCGGTCCATTGGTTTTTGCCTCGTCTTGGAGTTGTGGAACGCGCTTCTTGGACCCCCCGAACGGATGATCTTATGTTGGTCAAAGGCGTAGCGTCGTTGGTCAGCGTCGTGTAGGAGGGTCGTTGGGTTTCCACCCGAGGTTCCTTGGAAGGTACAACTTAGAGGGAACCGATGGGCTTTTTCTCTGATCATTTGGTGTCCCAGCTAGTGGGTTGCACTGGTAGATGTGGTCTTAGAAACATCCGGTCTTTCGAGGGCTCAGGAGACGTTGGCACGTTGGATGAGTCTATAGACCGCTTTGTGGGAGAAGAGTTTCCGAACCAGGTCGGAGACTCTGGCGTGCCCGGTGGGCTTGTTGAGCCCACTATTTGGTCGTCCACACATGCCCAACGAACATAGGGATGCCCTGAAATCACCACTGGCTCAAGTCATGCAGTCCGCAGCATCCGCAGTGGGACAAGGTTGGCCTCCGAGATTTGTTCCTTTGTTCAACAAACGGAGCAATCTAAAATGAACTGTTGATTACAAACACACATCTCCACCACTGTTTTCTCTGTCTAATAGTCTATATAATAGTCAGCACTATATAGTCAGCACTAGTCACCCTTGGCAGAGTGTGGAATTGACTTCAATTCTTGGGCAAAGTTTTGAGTTGGCTCGACTGGTCAAGGCCTCTTGTCCCCAGACCCATCTTGTTGGGACCGTTCCATGTCGCCGACATGTGGCGGCTCTTTCTGCAGCGCTGCGAGCGCGAACGCGAGAGGGACACCGTGGCGGTGATCGATGGCGAAGGGAAGACGAGCTTCCAGGCGCGGAAGGGTTCGATGGTGCGAATCACCACCGGAGCACCTGAACACCTTCTCTTGGCTCCGGAGCGGTTTTCGCGGTTTTGCTTCGTGTGCCAACATCGGTTTGTCTTCTTGCTCCAGAGACCTTCGTAGAAGCCTCTGGCTGGCTGGTGGGAGACCAGTCACTATGAACCCCAGATTCCTTCTGACTCAGACTCCCTACCCTGAGGATTCCTTCCCCTCACTGCAGGAGCTCCAGCGCCGTGTGGAGGCCTTAGCGGCTCGGATCCCCCACGCGACGGTGATGCCGCAGCGAGCGCAGCGAAACCTGGGCGTTTGCTTTGAGAGGACCCGAGGGGTGGCCGCAGTGAACGCCCACCGGGAAGGGATTTTTTGACCCACCGCAGGGGCGAACGACTGGTACCCCACGATGGAGCGAACGACTCGTCTACCGTCGGTTAGGTCAACGAACGTCGGTATCCTGCGGTATCCGTCGGTTTGACCCACAGCCACATGGATGAGATGGATCTCTCTCACAGGCCCGTGAGGCCATGAAGTCTGTCGTTGGACAAAAGGCTTTGCATCTTCGGTTCCCTCGGAACACGAAGCACGAGGACCTCGGTCTCGGCCGTGGTGGCGCTGTTGTCGGCCATCCGCCAACAGCGCCCCTGCGTGCCGCTGCCCGCGCGGCTGGGCGACTGCGTGGGCCTGGGGCGAGAGCGGCTGAAGGATCTGATGGGCTTGGCGAAGCTGGGAGCAGTGCTTTGCAGCCAGCAGACCTTCATGCAGGTGGGAAATCGGAGAAGTGAATGAAGGTGACCTCTACTTACAAGGAAAATCACTTGGAAGCTGATAGAAAATGCAACTGTAACAGACACTGTGGCGTGTTTGACAGGGTGTTTCCAGTTTGCTCCGGCAGTGGCCTCGCGATGTTGCGTACCCCAAAGAACTTCCCAAGCCATTGGAAATATTGAGTGACGCTAGTCACTCCAGTCTTCTAAGTGACCTTCAGCACGCTGCCTGACTCACAGCGTTTTCCTTTGTGCCGAAGCCCCTTCCGCGGATGTTGAGGTTCTCAACTCTTGGCCTGGGAGAAGGGAGGATGTTCTCGATGTCGAGAACACGCCTGACACGCCTGTGCCTGTGCCACATCACGCGCCCGACCACGTGGAGGAAGTGCCGTGGTGTTCCACGGAGCCCGGTCTTCCGCGGCTCTATGTGATCTTCACCTCGGGCTCGACGGGGCGACCGAAGGCAGGTCCAGAAAAAGGAAAAAACATCTGCAATAAATCCTCTGAAGTATGAGAAGACGTCTGAAGATTTTTGCATGGCCATGGCGGATGTTTCGCTTCACTCACCTCTCTTCCGGATTCCGAAGCATTCTCTTCCCACTTCAGCTCCCAAGCTTTTCTTTCGCCCTGGCCCTGCTCAAAACCGAGGGTGTGGAGGGCTTGGAGAGCGGATGTTTGAACCGGCTTTGGTGGCAGTGGCGCTGCTTCCCCTGGGCGCCGGGCGAGGTCTGCTGCGCCCACACCGCGCTGAGCTTCGTGGACCACGTGGCCGAGCTCTTCGGGGCCTTGCTGGCGCCTGCGGACGGGCCCGCGGACCGGCCTGGGCCCACGGTGGTTGGAAGCGCAGGGATGGAGGCGGAAGGAAGGAGATTGGGAGGAAGAACGTGGAAACATTTGAAGATGCTTTTTGTTTATAGTAGACATATATGACACATGCTAGTTGCATGAACTGTATGGGAGTATGTGCTGCAGGGAGACTGGATGTTCTGGCTTCATGGAGTTCGTGAGTTGGTGCCCTTGACTGTGCCTTCGTGCCTTCGGTTCACGCGACCTCGGCCTCGGCGCTGTCGCGGGCAGGTGCCCCAGACCCTGCGATGCCTCAAGGAGCATCAAGTCACACGACTGGTGATTACACCCACGCTGCTGAAGGCTTGGTTGCTGGAGGCAGAGAATTTGAGCTTCGACCCTTCGTCAAGTCGGAGAAGGTGTTAAGACGTTCGAATCGAGGGAATTTGAGGAAGGATGTTTCCGCTTCAACTTCAAGCGCGCAGGGTTTCATGGGACAATCTGCGTGAGAGTCATCTGGCGGATCTTCGCAAATGCACCAGAAGGGGGCCATGTTTGTCAAGATATTGGACACCTGCAAATGCGAGTGATTCTATATTGCCAAAACCTAAAGATTCCTACATGCGTATGCCACCTTCCAGACTCAAGCATGTCAATAAACATGATCATTCTCGTCATGATGCTTTGAACAACTCTCCGTTCTTGCATGAAGCAACCACCTGGACCAGAGTGATGCAGTTCACGCCAGAGTCGCCGACTTTAGAGGGGCACCTGTTGGGCCTTCACCTGGGCCTATGTCATTGCGACATCTGTCAAGTTCCCTCAAGAAGAGGGTCTCCTTCTTCAGAGCCTTCCATCTTCACTCCGCAAAGCCGCCTCGATCTCAGGACCCGGAGCGGATCCGACCCGGTCGGATGGGTCCGTCGGATCGCGGGGCCCGTGAACGCCGGTGACCTGGCCGAACGCCGAGGATCCCTGGAGGTCTTTGAGAATGGTGAGCTGCTCTGGTGAAGTCTTTCCGCGGCACTTGCTGAAGCAGTTGGAGCAGGTCTTGCCCAGCAGCTGTCGACCCTTGGTAGCGCCAAACTTTGGCGGCCGCTATGGAGCTATCGAGAAAGGGCCTTTTGAGATCTCCAGGCTTTTTTTCGTCTCAGGCCCTGTAGCACGAACATTCGCAGACCTATCCTCCGTTCAAATAGTAGAGACACTGCAAGAACCGCCCCCCTTCGAAGCACCTTTCAAGACTATCTGACCGACACAGGTGCGTCCATCTTCTTTGGGGGTTCCTTCAGGTGGGACCCCCCTTTGTTCCGGAGTGGGCCCCCTGTGACCCACCGAAAGCCAAAACCACACGTCCGAACTCCAGTTTCGCTGGCCCAAGGGAGGTTTGCCTGTCCAGTTTCGCAACTCACATCCGGTCCAAGGAGTCCTGAACATCTACGGCAGCACGGAGGTCTCGGGCGACGCGACCTGCGCTGAGCTGCCAGAGGATGACCAAGCGGCTGCGCGATGGTGGTCGCCCGAGCTGCCGTGTGGACGAGAAATCCATGGAGTTCAAGTCGAGGCCGGAGAACTGTGAAGAACTGTGACCTGAGTGGAGCATTTGTTTTGGGTGGCCCATGGCCTTCTTAGAGTCAAAGGGCCAGTGAGGTCAGAGATGGAGAGTTTCCGCAAAAGATCTGAAGATTTCATGAAAGCCAGAGGTTACTGGGTTGGGGAACAATCCTAATAATACTGTTGCTTCCAGTCCTGTTTGTTTTCTTTTATATACAGCCAATACATTTCTTTTGGCAACCGTCCGCAGTGCGAGATGAACCCTGATGGAGGTCCTGCATGTCAAGGAGGCAGGCGAGGAGCTTGAGGTCCAGCAGTGTGGAGATGGAGAGGAGCTGGACCAGTGGGATGCCCATGAGTCGATTCCGTTGGGATCCGTTGGACTTCAGGGCAGTGGGTTGGAGTTGGAGAAGTGAATCGACCTAACCCACTACCCTGTGAACAAAAAGAGTATGGATGACCCGGCAGAGAATCATAGCTGGACGATGAACACTTCCTCTACATGCGGGGCTGGTCCTTTAAAAGGGTTGTTTCTGAACCACCACCGACTAAAAACGACAACGGAGTTGTGCTGGAGCGCTTGTGGCATAGTGCCAAACCAACTAGTTGACGAACTGAACTGTGACCTTTTCTTTGGCCTTTGCTTGACCTCCGGCTTGTTCAAGCTGGGAGGGCATGTTGTTGGTTAGTAGGAGACCAATGCAGCAGCCTAGATCATCATCATCCTCTGTTCCCTTAGATAGTTCGTTGATTCATCCCAGTTCCACCACTTCAACGAGAAATCAGCTGACTGACTTTCGATCAGTGTGCTCTTTCCCACACCCACACCTGCAGCTTTCTGGGCCCAGCCTCAGCCGCCTTCCGCAGACGCTTCCGCAGGAGGGCGAAGTCTTTGTCTCCGGCGCCTGCGTCTCGTCCGGCTACTTCGAGGACCCCGTCGGCACCGCGGCGGCC